TCTTTATCTTACCACACATCTAATTCCTCCTACCACCCTCCTTCCACCCCTCCATTCATTACTCCTTTATTTTGTTTGTTCTGTCTATATCCCTATAGCTTATATTATTCTTTTAAAAGACCTAGGCTAGATACCAAATAGTCTGGTCACCCAAGATGAAGCTCCAATTTATTAAGGTATTAAATTAGAATCCTAGGAGGAACTAGATATGCTATTAGTTAAGAAGAAACTAAACAAAATTTGAGCCAGCCGGGAACCAAACATGGGTAGTGATGTTCAATTCCTGAACTCTAATTCTAAATGTTGGAGAGAAAGTGCGAGTTCTTTCATTAGATTGTGTACATGCTAATCAGATGTGGGAAACATGGAGCTCACAGATCTTTGAAGGCACAGAACAATTCTAATAACTAAAGATGTTAATGGCATGAATAATGGGCCACCAGGCAGGTCCTACTAACTGTCAAGTAAGTAAAGCGTCGGGAAATACAAGTAAACAACTCAAGACACATGCTGTTAGGAAGTGCTTGGGTCAATAAAAGACGTATTAGTCTACACCAAGGGATGGAATAACAATTTCACATCTTATTTACATCAATTTGAGTATCCATTTACTACAGTTAAGTAACCAACATATATCATTTGTATATGGGCTAAATTACACGCTTTGTGTCAAATAAAATAACAATAAACCACTTAATCACAAAACTAGTATAATTAGAGAAGCAAGCATGGTTATCCTCATAAAAATAAATGAAAGATGTATATTTCACTCCCCTAAATATTTCGTTGAAGCATTTAACTCCCTAGACTTTATTCTAGTTCACTTTACTCCTTCAAGTACTAAGGCCCTGTTTGAGTGAGCTTCTAGTATTTGCAGTTTCTTTTAGAATTTCCAGCTCCTCAAATAGTCTACATTCTCACTCAGGTTCTAAGAATCTGTAGTTATAGAAGCCAGAAGTTGAAAAACCCAACTTTTCCAGATTATCAGAAGCTAGCTACCAACCAGCTACTTCTCAGAATCTTAAGCTCCCCAAACAGAACTGAAAGCTTGTTTCATTAACTCCCTTGTTGCATTTGTATTTTTTTGTTTCTCCTTGCACAAGCTGTGTTTTCAATTCAATTTGTACGAGAATGTATAGATTTTGAGCACAGAAGACCAGTTTGTCTTCTAATAAATGGAAATGCATGTAAATAGTGATGAAGATTTTTGAAAATGTTTAGCAATATAAATTACAGTATCATCTATCGCCCCACAAAATTTCAAACTAAAACATTAGTTGTCTGAGAAGTAAAATTACACTTCAACAAAGTAATTTAAGAGAGAAAAAATGGCTTTTTCGCAAAGAAGTCAGATTAACAACTACTGGACCTGAAAGCAGCATTCTGAAGAAACTGACCATGCAACTCATGCACTTGACAATTCCTATGAATTATGATGAACTAGTGCTAGCTCACCTGCTGTAAGATTTGTTGGCGAGCTAGGGAAGGGGGGGGGGGCAGAACAGTGGTGCCCAAACAGTTGGTGTGCCGAAACCTGCAGCATTATTACAGAAATAGGATAAGAACACATCCAAAGACAAAGACAGCAGCAGCGTTGTTTGCAAGAAGGTCAGGGTCACGGTTGTTCTCTACACGCTTAGAAATTGTTGAAGGCACTAACAAATGTCCCCAGACCACATACACATATCCATTGAACAAAAACGCGTTCCTACTCATAAAATTGTTTTTTTTTCTCGAACGCGCAAAAGGATTGCACGTCAATATATTAGAAGATAAGAATATTCGTTACACAACGCATTAAGCCAGACCGACTTATGCCAAGAGAGGAGGGAAACAAAAGACCAAAGGAAAAAAGACTCGGAAAGTACGACTCCAACCAGCTGGAAGTGGCAGAGCACTCATAAAATTGATGACGTCTTGTGCCAAATCCAGTACTTGAATCCTAACGAGCTTTGCGTAAACCAACACAGCTTAGCCATCTAGGCACAGGACATTACAACTTTCGAAAATTTCCTAAGATTTGGCCCTAGAAATAAAGCAGGAGTGGTACATCTTGGCACGGTGGCCGCGACAACGCACTCCGGCCGCGCCGGCGCGGCCGGCGATAATAATAACATCACATCGACTGCAGGCCAAACTCCAAACACCGCACGAATCGGCAATCCGGCCGCCGGCGCCGCCGCTACTGGCCTACATATTCTCCCGGTCGCTTTGGCGCCTTACGCCGAACACGTCGTGGGCGACCGGTGACGCGACACGGCGTTGGTCGCACAGGCAACCGAGGTGGCCGGGCGAGCATGACGATTTCATCACCAAAGATCCGAACCGGATCACAATCCCAACAACCACTAGCTTCTCATGCTCAAACGCTAAAAAACAAAAAAATCCACCAAAACTAATTAATCTCCGTCTAAATCGGGGCAGAAAGAAATGTTGGGCAGAAGTCCGCTTAACTAAAGCACAAATCGATTTGCAAGCGAAGGCATGGATCATCACGTATCTGGATTAATTGGTTGATGAGCTCGCAATGGAGCGGCTCGCTGATGGGAGAGGAGGCGACGACCTTTGACTCTATGGGCGAGGTGTGAGGGTGAGCTAAAGAGAAGAGACGGAATGAGCTAGCTGGCTGCAAGCTGCAGCTTGGTTTTTCTCACTTTTTTATTTGTCAAGTCAACGCTGCCATTCCATCGCTAATCGCTACTACTATAGTTCGCTACCAGTGCGCTGACTAAGTCAACCATCCACACCGGCCAGTGGAGCACGTTCAGTTGGCGCCATTTCCGGAGATATTTAACCATTTGCCACTTTTGGATGTGGCAATTAACTTTTTGCCACTAGATCTATATGTCATAGACACATGTGGACCCACATGTCATTGAGATAGGGGTGACAAATAGTTATTTGTCAAATCTAAAAATGGCAAATAGTTAAAAGCTACGGGTATATAGAGAATTCCTAGTGACAAGGATGGCACTTTTACATTGATGATTGATTATTTTTTAAAAAAAAGAAAATAGTTGGAGCATACGGAGCATGCAAAACTTAAATAAATTCGAATGGTAATATACTACGTTCATCATCTTTTAATAGACGGCACCGTTAGCTTTTAATACATATTAGATCATTCATCTTATTAAAAAGATTACATAATTATAATTTATTTTATTGTGGGTTATTTTATCACTAAAAATACTTTAAGTATAATGTATTTGCACAAATTTTTTAATAAGAAAAATATATAAAGTTTTGTGTTAAAAATCAAACATCATCGTCTATTAAAAACAGAGTATGTTCGTTTGGTAGCTCTGCGTGTCCCTTTACCCAAGAGAGGGATTAGTACTCGATACTTACAACGCTACTCATTTCGTCTTATAATAAACCAATATAATATATATCCAGATTTATTATACTAAATAATATCACATACAACCCTATATTGATTTATTTTGGGACGGATGGTTTCATGAATTTTTTGCGTCAGGGCGTTTACCACCCAACTTCTATATAATATAATTATCTTTATTTACATATAATTTGCCTCTTGACAATTAGGCACTAACTATTGTATTACCTTAAAATTCATTAGTATCTTAACTAATTAAAAAATTCGTATTTTTCCTTTCGTCACACTTTTTTTTATCCATATGGTCCAATTCCTCCCCCCTCTCGCGAATGCTTGCGCAGTTTTTTTTTAAGAGAAATGGGCCTAGACTAAAAAAAACTAGGGTTTCGCTTCCGACATTTATACGACGTGGTTTTGCTTTGATTCTTGGGAAAACGGAAAGAGGAGAAGATAAGTATCAAAACCTCTCAGTTAATTTCAGATTATCTCCAAGGATGTGACCGGATTTTACGGAGGAGGTGGATTCAGGCGTCGTCGGGCAGATGCGACAATATAGACAGAGGTAGGAGACAACCCTGTAGCACCGGACCACGTGCCCACGTGACTGGGAAAGGAGTGGGGAGGATGATTAGACTTGTAGTGCCTTGCCGGGCCGGATGCGTACTTGCGGGCCGAGGCGGAGGGGAGGAGAAGGGAGAAAAGTGGGTCGGCTGGCTGTGGGCTGAGGAAGGAAACGGGCTGAAAATGGCCCAAAGAGAAAGGAGGGTTTTTATTTAGATTTTTTTAAATAAATGCTGAAATGATGTTTGTATTATTAAAATTCGCAACTAAGCTCTGAAAATTTCAAGAAAATTCTAGAGAGCGTAATTAATCATGGAGAACTTCATAAAAATTAAATCCAGCCATATCATTGTATTTCCACACTTAATTTACTTTTAAATTAATTTAAACACATACCTACTTAAAAAATATCAACTATTTCAGGAAATTTGTATTTAAGTTAATTACATAATGTAAATCTTTTTCAACTTCTCCTTAATTTTCTCATATTTTCTTCCCGTTGCAACGCACGGGCATTTTTTCTAAGTAGAACTACAAATTCCATGTGATACAACTATGATTCTGATCAAACAACTAAAAAAAACTCGCTACCAAGTGAGCAGAAAATGATTGGTTGCTAGGTTGTCCAACAAAACAAATACGATATTTTAAAGCCACAAATCGTCTCATCATTTCATTCAAAAAAAAAAGTGGTCTCGCATCCTGCAGACAAGATTGGGGGAATCAAACATTAGGTTAACACTCACATTCAGCTGTCAAATAAATCATCAAAAATAATCCCCATGGAGTAATTCTAGCACTATTAAACTATTTTCCGCTGGAATCCGAACATAGTTCTCTTTCTTTTATTTTGCTGGGAATGATTTTCGCTTTCTTAATTGGTACAATATTAGTTCATCAAGTTGCTTCGTACATGTACTGTGGAGAGCTGTGGCAAAAACATATGCACGCAAGTTGCAAAATTGACTAAAACAATATATATATTTTCTAGCAAAGAAAGAATTTTTTTTATCAAAGATGAACTTAAAGATTTGGATTTATTTTCACAAAAAAAAGGGAAACAAATTCGGGATAACCATGCAATCAACATCAGTACTGAATAAAACAACAAACTCATTCTTGACATTTGCCAGCAATGGAGCAGAATATTCATTTCAAGGAAGGAGAAAAGGCATGCCGGATTGGAATGGACAATTTCATCGAATTCGCACTCTGATGATACGAATGAACAATTGGTATACAAATGAATAGAAGCAACCTTCAGTTACAAACATCTATTAGCAAAACTTGCAACACAAACACAGATCCGAGCCTTATCACTCCAAGCAAATTTGCTTCAATTTTCCCATCGAATTTACGGTCACGCCCGCCGCCGCACTTGTTCGTCTATCCCTCAGCTCGGCTGTCGAGGCATGGGCAGCTGCAGAAACGAAACAGAGAAATCAGCAAGAGCAAAGCATCAGAGTGACAAATCGATATGAAATCTAATACAATCTAAACAATTGTTGTTCGATTTTCGAAGAACAAATTGGAGTACCATTTGGCCAAGAAGCTCGATCTCTCCTGCGCCCGCGGAGGTTGCGACGGCGGCTGCTGCGGGTTTGCCGGACGCCCGACGAAGTAGTCTTCTCCCCCCCAAAAAATGAAAACGAAGCAAAAATTTAGCAAACCAACCGGACAAAATCGACTCATTTTTGTGTCCCAAAACGATTACATAAAACGAAAACGAAGCAAAGTTCAGCAAAACATCGGGCAAAACCGATTCTTTTGCGGCCAAAATTTGATCATCAAATCGAGTTTGCACCGTTGGACGTACCACCAGGGATCTGCGCGTTGGTAGCAGGCCGCTGCTCGTCGGCGCCCTGCTGCTGTTCTTTCGCAGGCTCCGCTTGGTTCATCGGCCGCCCCACGAAGTACCCTGCAACAAACGTACACACACACCGAAAAATTCTTAGACTGATATAAAGAAGCAAGAATTCCTTTAGGCTTTAGCATGATTGATTGATACAAACAAAAAAAAAAGAAGAGAAGAGAAAGCTTGTGAGTGAGTGACACGTACCAGGAACATCGCTGCTCATGGCGGCGGCGGTCGACGGATCGACGGTCACCGGCGGCAGCTGGTTGGTTTCGTAGGAGGAGAAGCTACTGAGCACACAAGGAGATGGAGAAGAAGACGAAGAGGGTAAGGAGAGGCACAGGAAGATGCTTCCTTCCTCTCTCCCAGGCTGGCCTACGCCAATGATTCGCGCAGAGATTGATATTTTTTTCGGCCGCGACGACCTAAAACCCAAGTCGTTGCTCAAGTGGCATCACCAACCAGCGACCACTACTACTCGAAGACCAGCTCAGTAACTAGAGTATCAGGAATTTGCAAACATGGCATGAGATAGAGAATATCAAAGCATCCACTATTTGTTATTTCTTTCCACGAAATTGCAAACATGGCATGCAATGAGAATATCAAATCATCCACTGTTTGTTTTTTTTATTTTCACCGTACTGGCAACCGTTTTAGTTAGGACAGATACTCTGGATCTTGTAAGTTGTCATGACAGGGAAAACTTCATTGTCTTACAGATATTTGGGCCGTGTTAGTTTGGCTGCAAGTGAAAGAGATCGGCCTCTTCTACATTGAAAGGCATGTGACTTTATTACTGATATATAGGTCTGATGAATCATAAACCTACATATCAATGATAAATGTATGATGCTTTTGAAGACAGAATATCAATCAATGTGAAAGATGCATGATTTTCGCAGGCCTTAAATTGTAGACATAATGGCTGGCCACTTGTGTAAATCACTTTTGACTGTCTGCAAAAAGCTTTTTCTTTTAAGTAGCCCCTGAAGATTTTACACATTTGTGTTCTTTTTCAATACTTATTTTAAGAACAAACCCTTAAAAACTGATCGCACAAATGGACCCTAAAACTTCTAACATCTCAGCACAAAAATCCTTGGAGTTGACCAATGGCACCATGCTAGAAGCAAGATTAATATACTACCTCCGTCCCAAAATATAGCAATTTTTAGCTATGAATCTGGACACATACGTGTCCAAATTCATAGCTAAAAATCTTACATTTTAGGACGGAGGGAGTAGTAACTAAGTGACCTGCTTGTTGGTGCTAAGATGTTGGAGTTCACTCCTAAGCTTGGGCTTGGCTGTGACTGAGATTGGGGTTCATTCCTACAATTAAGTTTCATAGGATTGTATTTGTAAATAAGTATTGCAAAAGGAACATGATATAAAATGTTTCAATATGATAGTCCATAAGGTTGATGCATTGGCTGTTAGTCTTGGAAATTAGATGAAAGTAAAGGTGTCTACTTGATTAGTATAGTATGGACTGGTGGCGAATATAAGATTCTAAGTGTAATTTGGGGTGTGTTTGTTCACGTCAAAATTAGAAGTTTGATTGAAATTGGAACGATGTGATGGAAAAGTTGAAAGTTTGTGTGCGTAGAAAAGTTTTGATGTGATGGAAAAGTTGGAAGTTTGAACAAAAAGTTAGGAATTAAACCAGGCCTTGATTTGAATGAGTATAATAATTGATTATTGTCCAAGTTTATTTACCCTGAACCAGGATTAATTAATGAAGACCACAAGCATGCCAAATACCAGAATACCTATCAATCCTTGTCAGCGAAGAGTCTTAGAACTTTTCCAGTTAATTTATAGTCATTTTCATCTCAAAGCAAACGCTGAAAAATTAAAATCCATGACAGTTTGGTTCAATTGCTTGAAGACTTGCAGTTGCAAATAAGTCGGTCAATTGTCAAAGTCATCTCATTGATCGCTGCTCTCGTTTGCAAACATTATTATTCTTTTTCGTTGAAAATGACAAATGATTGTTCGTTGTAATTAATAGGCGATTGAGTCAAAAAAAATTTCTGAACCATCCAAGAGAAAGTTCAAAGTTTTCATATTCATGTGGACCTTTTCCTTGACAAAGACGACTTGGATAAAACAATCCTTTTAATGAGACCAGTAGCAATATAGTAAATTGATAGATCCAAACAGGTAAGCAAAATACTAATGGATAACGCGGAATAATCTCATTTGCTTGGGATATGATTGTACAATTCACAACAGTGTAACTGCAGGAAAAGAAAAACTTTGGAAGAAACAAAACTTGTATTTCCTAAAATGATAACTTCTCCATCAAAATTCCACTGATTTCTTGATGAACTGTCGATTAACATTGCGAATACAGCCGTGTTGATCTAGTTCACATTTTGACCGCCAGTGAAGCACCCGAAGCTGCAGAGATTCAATGAGCCAATGCATCATGCAAAGAGAAAAACAAATCAATGGGTAACTACAGACAGAAGCATCTGATATTCTGTACACGAATTGCAGCTTACAGTTTCTTAAAGAAGCCCGGTTCATTCCTCTGTGCACCCTTAGCATCATTTGGTCTGACCGGATTGCCATTGTAGTAGCCTTAGTAGTAGAAAAGGAAAATCAGAAGATAAAGATTTCTCTTAATCTTTATAAGGATTTGAAATTTGAAAAGTTGAAAACTATCATAGGACATAGCAAACAAAACAGCCTGAGGTAATAGAAGAATGCATAGAAGACTGAAAATTAAGAACCCTTTTCAAAGCACTTATCAACCTCAAGTTATAACAAGATCTGCTACATCATATCCGGCAAATTGATGTATGCAGAAAACTAAGCAAATTGATGTATGCAGAAAACTAATTAATCCTGTATACCTACCAGGGAATTGAGCGTTCTGTTCCTCAGCCGGCCGTGAAGCTTGCTGTTCTTCATGGTTCAATGGGCGACCAACGAAGTAGCCTGCATATGAACAACACCCACAAAGTAAGAAAATTTACAGAAAATATGTTATTCAAACGTGAAATAGTTCGCCTATGGATGATTGGTTAAGCTTGTAGCATGCACATACCTGGAGGATTGTCACTCATGTTGGATCAATCGATCTCCAGCCGGTTAGCTCCTCTTCCGGCGACGGCGAGGCGAGAGGTAGACGAAGGCGACGACCAGGATGCAGAGGAGACTGACTTGAGAGGTGTATTCTAATGAAACTTTTCAGGTCCACGGCCGTTTTATTGGCTTTTCTCTAACCCCGTTCTAACTTTGATTATACAGATTTTACCTTGGTTTTCGTTAGCATGCTTTTCAAACAGTTAAATGGTATATTTCGTGTGAAAACTTGTTATATACAAGTTGTTTTAAAATATCAAATAAATCCATTTTTAAGTTTAAAATAATTAAAATTTAATTAATCAAAATGGCAATGACTTCCTCGTTTTACGTTCCATTAGCTACCAGTAGTGATTAGAATAAGCAGACGGATTGTATGGAGCAATCGGATCTACAGTTGTGCCAACTAGCTAAGCTATAGGTCATCAACCACCGAGTCACGGTAAAAATGATCGCGTGGTCTGGTGTTACTGAAAGCGATACAATTGCAGCTCAGTTTTTTTTTTCCAAAATGGCCCACACATAAGATAAGATGGTGTGAAATTTCATATTGATAAAGCTGGGAAAAAGTACAAAAGATTATAACCCTACGAAATTATTATCAAGGAAAAAGAAAAAAAAAACCTCCACCACACGTGCTAGTAACTCCTGCACATACCAACCCGACCAACGCTTGGCCAAATGCCACTAGCCCTATTAGTGACAGAGACATGATTTTCGGGATGGGTATTCAAGATTTCCATAGAAAAAAAATATTACTCACTCTGTTTTATATTATAAGACTTTTTAGCATTACTCACATTTATATAGATGTTAATAAATCTAAACACATATATATATGTCTAGATTCATTAACACACACACACACACATATATATATATATATTCGCGTGTACACACCGTGTACACCAACTAAAAATTATCACAAAAAATTCTAGGAAAATTCATACATGTACTTTCAATAGTATTACATCAACGTGCAAAGTCGCATCTTCAAATTCATTCTATATAGAGAATAACAAAAAAGATAAAATTCTGACAAAATTGCAACCTTAAAACTGTCAGATTTTTTGTTTTTTTTGTTACGGCTAAAATATAATGAATTTGACGTTAAGATTTTAACCCTAGGTGTAATACAATTGAAAGTATGTGTATGATTTTTTCTAAATTTTTTGGTGACATTTTTTAGTTGGTGTGCACGTGTGTACACGTGAGGGCCTGTGTGCATAGGATATGTTGCCGTTAAGAAAAAAAAGTCTTGTAGTATATTCTATCTTATATGCGAGCAATGCTAGAAAGTCTTGTAGTATGAAATAGAGGAAGTAGTAACATTAGGAGCTACATAGAGGAAAAATAAGATAGAATCAACTGATAAAAAGGCAGGGATTGAAATGGAGAAGAGGGAGGGTTGAGGTGGGCCATGCTCATCATCATCGTTTGTCTGTTCAAATTAAGGAAAATTGCTAAGATTTGGGAAAACCGCCGGTTTCCTCCATAGGGCCGGTCTGACCGTCGTTTGTTGGTCGGTCAGACCGCTGCTTGAGGGCCGGTCTGTCCGGCGGCATGTGGCCGGTCAGACCAGCAGAGTCCAAGCCCGAGTCTGTTTTCGTCATGTCTCAGGATTCCTTACTCAGGAGGCTATATTTCGGGTTTCCTTTGAATTCTATCCCGAGTTCGACGTGGAGGAGGACCTGTAGGAGGCAAGATCAACCCCTATATAAGGGACAAGGCCGGTTCAATTGAGCATACAATCTACACACAATCCAACTTAGCCAATTAAATCGCTTTTTCAATATTTCAATCTAGTTCTAGTCTAGTTCATCCATCTTTGTCGATTTGTGCCATAAATCGTCTGTCTTCACTACGAGAGTGCGAAATCCTTTGTAGGTTTGTCCCGTAAACCTTCCGTTTACCCACGAGACGGATAGTTATCTATTGTTCTATCTAAATCGGCTCCGCTAGCCGGTTTAGTTTATCAAAACCCATCTTGGTCTAGCTTTTGCTAGATTGAGGTGGTTGGCGACACTACAATCACCGCAAGGCGTTTAGGTGTCTCGATCGTGTTTGTCTACTTGTCAAAAAAGTTGCCAAACACGTGCCATTCCATGGTGTCTCAGACTCTTGGTGCTCGCTGTACACTCATGCCATCCCATGCCATCTCGGGACAACTCGGTGTCCGCACCAAGAAGCATGGCGCCTACCCCCTGTCAGTTTTATGGGTAAGGCATACCCAATAGTGTTGGGTTAAGCTCAACGGGACCCACCATATACCAAGTCTTATATGAAATCAAATCTTGCATATGGAAGGTATTCCAGATAAGGAAGGAGAAGCAGAGTTCTATATGGAAACTACAAGGACTATTCGGATCGTATCCATATTTATCTTTCTAGTTCTATTTGGATAAGGGGACATCTATGGTTATAAATACAAGACCCCTAAAAGAAGAGGGGGAGACGGACCAAGACAAGCCGAGTCTAAATAGACAGGCAACAGTCAGAATATACATCAATACATGCCGCCAGACATCAACATAAGAGATAAACCTAAACAGATCCAATCTGGTGCCACAGAGGCTAACAAGAGGGATCTAGCGCTATCTCTGATATCGCCCAGTTCATATTAGAGGAGGAGGACTACCCTGTTGTCGACAACGTGTGGTGGTTCATGCCGCCGTGTTGACGATGATTAGAGTTATCCCAAATATTGTACTTGTGTGATTCTGATGAATAAGAGCAACACTGGTTTCAATTAGCAGGAGTAGGGCTATTACCTGTTAAATAAGGAGCCTGAACCTACATGAAAATCCTTGTCTCCGTCTATTTTACCTTAGTCTCGCTTATACCCTGGTACGAATGATCCCCAAACTTTGCAAATACCATAGTCGTGATCTACAACATCGACACTCTCTCCCCCTCCCCCTCTAACTCGATGCCAAGGTCTCCAGCGTGGGTGCATGAAACCTCGATGCCAAGCTCACCGGCACCGAGTAGAGTCCATATCCATAATTAGATTTTTGGAGGGTCTATTTATGAAATAAGTTTTACAAAAAGAGTCATAATTTTTTTTAAAAAATCGAGCATACCAAAAGGTGGACGAAGACGACGACCAAGAAATCGAGGAAACTTGACTTGAGAGATTTTTATACTAAGACGACTTGGAGGTCTCCGGCCGTTTTAGTTGGATGAAAACATAAGAAATCAGTTTGTTAGCTTTCTCTAAGCTGTCATTAGTGAGTAGAATAAGGAGACTGGAATTATATTTTTGCAGTTGCCGACTAGCTAACTAGGTCCTCAACAACTGAGTCATAAGTACAAGGACTGTTAAGGTGACACGGTATGTTTCTTCCTACTCCCTCCATCCTCAAATATAACAATATGTTTCTTCCTACTCCATTCGTACCTAAATATAAAGGATTTTAAACAGATGCAACACTTACTAGTACATGTCCAGATTCCTTGTACTAAAAAAATATCTCATCCGTCCAAAATCCCTTATATTTTGGGCAAAGCGAGTATATGTCCAAGATGCAGCGAACAGCCTGACCAGTGAGCTGGCTGCAGGACAGTAAACTAATCAAAACTGTATCTTTTCTAATTTGCATACTGGACTACAGATATTCTATTCCTTTCGATATGAACAATTCTGATTTACTTTTTCTTTTCCTTTTTACTATAGGCAAAATAATCTATTGAGCAATAATTTCTCGAGTTTCTGGTCCATTTAAAAAGAATCCAGCATCCCCCACTGCATGCGGTTTGGAGGGTATACTATAAATTTTGAGATCAGGAAAAAGGAAGCTTCCACAGCGGACTCCCGTCCTACACGCACAACTTGGCCAGTTGATAATTGGCACTGCAAATGCTTAGCCGCGTCGACTTCGCGTCAAGTCGTCGGCGGCTAGTTCAGAGAAACAGACAAGGATCTGATTGAGATTTGAGGCTAGTGGCTTTGTGCTTTATATTTTCTTCGTTGCCTATCTTAAACCTCACATGCTCTGATCGTCTCGCCAGCTCTGCTCTTCTAGACGCTCTGATCGTCTGCAGCTCAGGTTAGATTGATTTCCACTGGATCTTGCTTTGTATCATCTAGCTAGTTTGTAGCTGTCATCAGCTTTAACTTTTCTGATTATGTCTGCTGGAAAATTCTGCCTTTTTCTTTCGTGAATTTCGCCTTGTTGAGAGGAGGGATCACTAACTAGTCTCTTTGCTAGAAAATATTGGGAAATTTGTTCTGAAATTTGACCCTGAGCGAGCATATCATCTCACACAATTTCAGTTTAAAACACATCTTGTGTAAGGACAAACAAAAACGACAAAGCAACGAGAGAGTTAAGCTAGCCAGTTTTAGTAGTTCAGGGAATAGAGCGAACTTAAAATTGCTTAGGATTAACTGCTTCAGCCAAATAATTTAGGGAAGTAAAATATACTTTTCCTTTTATTTTATAAATGCAACCATGTTCCAAGAAATATTACATGCTTATCTAATACTAGTTTTATCATTCAGTACCTTGCTGATTCATTTATTATTTTGTTGTGAACCACAACAAATTCATTCGTTCCACAAAATTAATGTCTCAGACAAGCAAAGGGTTATATTATAGTTAAGTACTAAACAGTAAATCGATACTCAAATTGATGTAAACAAGCAGATTTTGAATTGCTATTACATCGCTTGTGTATAATAATGTTTCTTTTACTGACCCAAGCACTTCCCAACAGCATAGTATGTTAGATATAGATACAATCTAATGAAAGAACTCACACTTTCTCTCAAATTTTTTAACTGGAGTTTGGGAATTGAACCTCACCACCCAAGTTTGTTTCCCTGTCGGCAGTTTTTTTACTTATTATTTTTAATTAAAAAGATACCCTCCAAGAATTATCATTTAATCCCTCAATAAATTGGAGCTTTATCTTAATTAACCGGTTTCTCTCTACTTACCTACTGTAGTTCTTTTAAAAAAAAATTGAAAAGGTATCTTCCGATCTAGGTATGACGTGACTGAAACATGAGCAGTTTTGTTTTTGATGTTGCTAGGTTGTTCCAAGTAAATGCATTAATATAGATTAGATCTAACCTTGATTCATGGCCCGTGTTACTGATTTAATTGCTAAGTTATACATCATGAGCCTCATCCAGTAGTGTCATTATTATCATAGTCTGACTATGGTCTACAATAGAAAAGTGTTTCCAATTTTCAACATCAAAGTAAAACTGAGGCCAAAAACTTTGGGTGATATTTGTATGTCCATAACATGATAATATGTTTATTTTGTTCAGCACAAATGGCAGAGGCGGTCCTCCTTGCTCTAACGAAGATCGGTGATGCTTTAGCAAATGAAATCGCTAAAGAATTGATTGCCAAACTGTCTGAAAAGGTTAATAATCTAAAGGATCTGGATGAGAAGATTGAGCAAATGAGGAAACAATTGACAACCATGAACAACGTTATATTGCAGATAGGCACGACATACCTCACTGATGAAGTCGTCAAGGGTTGGATTGGGGAGGTAAGGAAGGTGGCCTACCGTGTTGAGGATGTCATGGACAAATACTCGTATTACTCTGTGCAAATGGCGGAAGAGTGGTTCCTTAAAAAATACTTCATCAAAGCATCACATTATGTTATTGTTTTCACTGAAATTGCTAATGAGGTAGTCAAGATAGAGAAGGAAATCAAACAAGTTATAGAACTGAAGGATCAGTGGTTGCATCCATCCCAGCTTGTTTCTGACCCGCTCACTGAGATGGAAAGACAGAGGTCCCGGGACAGCTTCCCAGAACTTGTGAAAGATGAAGATCTTGTGGGGATTGAAGACAACAGGAGACTGCTGACTGAATGGTTGTACACCGACGAGCTGGACAGTAAGGTGATAACAGTGTCAGGTATGGGCGGACTGGGGAAAACCACCCTGGTCACAAATGTGTATGAACGTGAAAAGATCAACTTCTCTGCTCATGCATGGATGGTTGTGTCTCAAACCTACACTGTGGATGCTCTATTAAGGAAGCTGCTTTGGAAAGTTGGTTACACAGAACCACCACTGTCAAGTAACATTGACAAAATGGATGTGTATGATTTGAAAGAGGAAATAAAGCGAATGCTCAAAGTTAGAAAATGCTTGATCGTACTTGATGATGTCTGGGACCAAGAAGCATACTTTCAAATACGTGATGCATTCCAGAATGACCAAGGAAGTCGCGTAATAATCACAACACGGAAGAATCATGTGGCAGCTCTTGCTTCCTCAACATGTCACCTTGATCTCCAGCCATTGAGTGATATTCATGGCTTTGATCTATTCTGCAGAAGGGCATTTTATAACATTAAGGACCATGAGTGTCCCACGGAACTCGTGAAAGTTGCCAAATCTATAGTTGAGCGGTGTCAGGGCCTTCCACTAGCAATTGTGTCAATAGGCTGCCTCCTGTCTTCAAGATCACGGTCACATTATGTTTGGAATCAAGCATACAATCAACTTAGAAGTGAGTTGTCAAAGAACAATCATGTCCGAGCAATTTTAAATATGAGCTACCATGACCTGTCAGGAGACCTAAGAAACTGCTTTTTGTACTGCAGCCTATTCCCGGAAGACTACCCGCTCTCCCGTGAGAGCCTTGTGCGTCTGTGGATTGCAGAAGGCTTTGTCCTGAGGAAAGAGAACAACACACCAGAGGCAGTAGCTGAGGGAAATCTCATGGAATTGATATACAGGAATATGCTTCAAGTTACAGAGTATGATGATCTCGGCAGGGTGAATACTTGTGGAATGCATGACATTATGCGAGACCTGGCCCTTTCTGCTGCTAAAGAGGAGAAGTTTGGCTCTGCAAATGATTTTGGCACAATGGTAGAGATTGATAAGGATGTTCGTCGTCTGTCAACTTACCGATGGAAAGACAGTACTGCACCAATTCTCAAACTTCTACGTCTTCGAACCATAGTATCACTTGAAGCATTTTCATCTTCCATTGATATGTTGTCCTCAGTTTTGTCTCACTCAAGCTACCTTACTGTTCTCGAGCTTCAAGATTCAGAAATCACTCAAGTTCCACCATCTATAGGGAATTTGTTTAATCTACGTTACATTGGCTTACGGAGGACCAAGGTTAAGTCACTCCCAGACTCCATTGAAAAGTTGCTGAACCTCCACACTCTGGACATGAAGCAAACAAAGATAGAGAAGCTACCACGAGGAATCACTAAAATCAAGAAGCTAAGACACTTGTTTGCTGATAGATGTGTTGACGAGAAGCAGTCGGAGTTCCGATACTTTGTAGGAATGCAGGCACCTAAAGATCTATCCAACCTGAAAGAACTACAAACTCTGGAGACTGTTGAAGCCAGCAAGGACTTAGCTGAGCAGTTGAAGAAACTCATACAACTAAAAAGTGTATGGATTGACAACATAAGCTCTGCTGATTGTGATAATATTTTTGCTACACTGTCAAATATGCCGCTACTTTCCAGTTTGCTTCTTTCTGCAAGGAATGAGAATGAGCCACTTTCTTTTGAGGCTCTCAAGCCAAGTTCCACAGAACTCCACAGGTTAATTGTCAGAGGGCAATGGGCCAAGAGTACATTGGACTACCCGATATTCCGTAGCCACAGTACACATCTCAAATATTTATCCCTAAGTTGGTGTCATCTCGGGGAAGATCCATTGGGGATGCTTGCGTCGAACTTGTCGGACCTCACTTATCTAAAACTGAACAACATGCAGAGTGCAGCAACATTAGTTCTTCGTGCAAAGGCATTCCCCAAACTAAAGACTCTTGTCTTGAGGCAGATGCCTGATGTCAAGCAGATAAAGATCATGGATGGCGCCCTTCCATGCATTGAATGTTTGTACATTGTGTTGCTGCCGAAGCTGGACAAGGTCCCTCAAGGCATTGAGTCCCTTAACTCCCTGAAGAAGCTCTCCCTGTTGAACCTGCATAAAGACTTCAAAATCCAATGGAATGGTAATGAGATGCACAAGAAGATGCTGCATGTTGCAGAAATCTGTGTCTAGAAGTTGCATGCTTTATTTACCTTAAAGAGGCTCTTTGTAATTTTGTAGCACCCTTGAATTTTTCATTTATTTAAAAATCTTGTCATTTAAACATTTTGAGTATAAATTTGGTTCTTATTTGATTTTGTGCCAAATAGGTCTCAAATCCTCTCTTAGAAATCCCCTCGAGTTGTTGTCAAAACCCTAGGACAAAATTCAAATTAGATTCCTCCAAAAACTCCCCAAAATTTCAAATTCCAAATCCTAGAGAAAATGTGAAAGGTCAAAGGTCACTATTCATTTGGGCCTCTTTTTTTCCTTTTTCTTCCCTCAGCCCAACTCCCTTTCCTCTCCTCTCTCTCCCCGAGCAGGCCGGCCCATGGCCTTCCCGCACCGGCCCAGCCCACCGCTGTTTGTCTTCCTCCTCCGACCGGTCGCGCGCGCGCACCACATGTTCGACGAAATGTCTCGCCCGAGCACTGAGTCGTGGCAGTGCTGCGTCGCACCGAGCCGCCCTCCCATGCGCCGCGCGCCGTGCCAGGACCGCATCGCGCCAAAGCCGCGCCCTGCCAAGCCGCATATCCCAGTGGGAATCACATCCCATCCCTCGCTCCGGTTTCTCTCCGGGAGACACGGCGCCGCGTCGTCCCGTCGCCACCTCCTCGTGACGCCACGCCGTCCTATCCCGGGCTCCCGCGGACGCGCGCCCTCTCCACTTGTCACACCGCGCCTTGTCGCCCGTCTCCTACCGGGAAGCCGCCGAGCCCGCGCCTATCTCTCTCTCTCGCGTCGCGTTGCCACCACCGCATGACGCCGCTCGCGTCCCCTCGCTCTGAGAAGAACCCTACCGCTCGATTCCCGGCCGTAGCCGCCGTCCGTCGCGCGTCACCATTATCCCGTCGCCAAACCCGCTCCCCGCGCGTCACCTCGCGTTCCATCGCCGCTTCCCATGACGTCGCGCCGTCACCATCGTCATCACGTCGCCGCGCCACCGCATCGTCATCCGCTCGCCGTAGCAGCTAGCCGGCTATGCCCGGACTCGCGGTGCCTAGCCGCCAGATCGCCGCGTCCCGCCAAGCTCACGCCGCCAATAAGAGGAGAGCCGAGCCCCATCCTCACCACGCCATCCCCATCTCTTCTCTTTCTCTCCTCTCTTTTTGCCGCCGCTCGAGCCCCCGCACTTGCCCTCCCAAGCGGAAGAAGATACGGCACTCGTCATCGCCATATCTTGTCCTAGGTGGTGCCGGCTTAGGAAAGGGAGGGTGGTGGGGGGTCGCCCCCCCCCCCCCCCCCCCCCGGGAGAAAACGGAAAGATGGAGAGAGAGAGAGGGGGAAGGAGTAGCGGAGGTTGAGGAGGTAGGTGCGGGAGATTTGCTCAGCGCAAAGAGATGACTGAGGGGAGTGATTTTCGTGGTAGGGCAGCCTAGGAAAAAATTTTGGTGGTAGGCCCACCTAAATTAGATACCGCTACAGTAAACATTTGCTAATGATAAATTAATTAGACTTAATAAATTTATCTCGTAGTTATTTTGTTATTACACTACGTTTAATACTTTAAATGTGTGTGTCCGTATATCCGATGTGACAACCATAACTTAAAAGTTTTCTCCAACTAAACAATGCCAGTTCTAAAAAATTTTATCCAAAAATATCACATCGAATTTCTAGACGCATATATAGAGTATTAAATATAGAAGAAACCTAATTGTGTAGTTTGCATGGAAATCGCGAGACGAATCTTTTGAGTCTAATTAGTCCATGATTAGCCATAAATTCTACAATAACCCACATATGCTAATGACGGATTAATTAGGCTGAATAAATTTATCTCACGGTTTTCAAGCGATGTATGAAATTAGTTTTTTCTTTCGTGTACGAAAACCTTTTCTAATATATAGTGAAATGTCCGTTGTGACATCGAACAATTTTCACGAACTAAACCCACGCTAAATCCCAGAAATTATTTTAGGAGACGGAAAAGACAGCGACGACTTGACCCAGACAGAAATAAGAAAATAAAAGAGAAAAGAAAAGAAGAAGAACCAAGCTGCAGGCAGCTGGCTCAAGAGCTCCGGGCGGGTCAAGGTCTCCTCCTCTCTCGTCGGCGACCTCCCTTGCGATTGATTCATCAGGTGCGTGCATCCCTTCACTTGCAGAATCCATGGAGCTTGGGAGCGATTAGTAGTAGTTCATGCTGCAGAGCCGTTTCGCCGCTGAGCATTTTTTGTTGACTCCCTCGATTTGCTCGTGCTCGGCGACTTTAGTATCACCCGAAGATCGCGAAGAACTCCTCCTTCTCTCGATTTCGATCCGCATTCCGTTGACGGATTGGTACGCGAGTTGACTTTGCAAGGATTGATCATCTCCCCCTTTGGGATGAACATCCAGTGTCCCCCCCTTTGCGGCGCCCGCCAAGTGTTCGTCGGAATGCGCGTTCCCGACCGCGAGTCTAGGCACGCTGCGCGCCGACGCATCCGGCGAAGGGAGGCCGCCACGCCTCCGTCTGGTGTGGTTCCGCGGCCTGCGCGCGGCGCTTTTTTTTTTTTTTTGGCCAAATCTTGTCCCCGGTTGTGCACGATCACGAACTGCTTTGCTGACTGCGTTCTCATCCTCTCTTGTTTGATCCTGCAGGGTTCTGCACATTGACCGTACAGCACCTGCGCTCCAGCCCTGTTCTCTGGTCTTCCAGCAGGTGAGCAAGCATATAAATCACTACTCAGTATGGCAGTGTATTTGTTGTGTGTTCTGTTCTACGGATCATTTTTTTGTTCTTCATAGTTGTTAGTCTAATGTTCCAGGTAATGCTGCTAAACTTGCTTGTCTAATGTATAGTCTTTCTGCTCACTGTCTTGTTGATGAACCAGTTATTTTCTTTGAATATGTATGAACTATGTTCAGCCCACAAGTTGCTTCAGCTGAAGCTGTATAGGGTGTGTTTAGTTCACACCAAACTTCCCCCCAACTCCCAACTTTCCATCACATCACATCACATCCAAAACTTTCCTACACACATAAACTCCCAACTTTTTTTCCAAACTACCAACTTTCCCTAAACTTCTCCCCAATTTCAGGAACTAAACACATGTATGTTGGTGAAATGTAATAAATGCATACTCAAATTAAAGTAAACAACTACATACAGAATAGCTGTACTTCATGATGTATAACATTATAGCAATGTTTCTTTTACTGAGCCAAGCAGGAGAGCTCTTCCGAAAGCATAGTTTGTCCAGAAAATCTCGTAGCCGATTTCCGAACTCCAAAGTAAGGTGTCAAAAAAAAAATGTTCCAAGTCAATTAATAAAATATAACTTAGCACTGGCCTTCATATATGATACTGTTTGCCATTCTGATTTGGAATCCTACTCTGTGCCCACAAGCAAATCAAATAAAGCTTGTCATTTATTTGCTGAGTTGTATCTTATGAGATGCCATTAACTTCTCATAAAACGTTTTATGAGATCATAGATGCTTGTGGTAAAAGAATTACTCTATGGACACGGTGCATGAGTACCATTATTTCTTTTCTCACAGTGGACCATTATTATCCAAGTCTGAACAGTGCCACACATTTCATGCAGAAACCATTGGAGTTCTGTTCAATGAAAGCACACATTTCTCCAGGAAAATAGTGATAATTAAAGGCATCAATAAATAAAAATTTTCTTTGATATATAAGTTAAATTGGAGACTAGAAATCGCAAGCCACTTGTTGTTCTCTTTTGTAACATAATGGTGTGTGTTCTTTCAGAACAAATGGCTGAGGCAGTGCTCCTTTCTGTCAAAAAGGTTGGCAACGTGTTAGCAGATGAAGCTGCCAACGCTGTCATTGCCAAGGTGTCTGAAAAGGTTACTAATTTGAAGGAGATGCCAGAGAAGGTCGAGGAAATAAGGAAGCAACTGACAATCATGAACAGTGTTATACTACAGATAGGCACCTCATACCTCACTGGTATAGTTGTAAAGAATTGGATTGCAGAGGTGAGAAAGTTAGCCTACCATGTTGAGGACGTAATGGACAAGTACTCATATCATGCTATTCAACTTGAGGAAGAAGGTTTCTTGAAGAAGTACTTCGTTAAAGGTTCTCATTAAGTCGTGGTATTTAGTGATATTGCTGAGGAGGTAGTCAAGTTAGAGAAGCAAATCCAGCAAGTTATAAAGCTTAAAGAGCAGTGGTTGCACCCTTCCCAGCTCAATCCCAACCAGCTTGCTGAGACTGGCAGACCACGGTCTCACGACAACTTCCCATATCTTGTCAAAGATGAAGATCTTGTGGGGATTGAAGACCACAAGAGATTGCTGGCTGGATGGTTGTACTCTGATGAGCCAGATAGAGCAGTGATAACAGTATCTGGTATAGGTGGGTTGGGAAAAACCACATTAGTCACAAATGTTTATGAGCGTGAAAAGGTCAACTTTGCTGCTCATGCATGGATTGTTGTCTCCCAGACCTACAATGTGGAGGCTCTATTAAGAAAGCTCCTTAGAAAGATTGGGTCTACTGAACTGTCACTTGATAGCTTGAACAATATGGATGCACATGACCTGAAAGAAGAAATTAAGAAAAAGATTGAAGATAGCAAATGTTTGATTGTGCTGGATGATGTCTGGGACAAAAAAGTGTACTTTCAGATGCAAGATGCATTCCAGAATCTTCAAGCAACTCGAGTCATCATCACAACTCGAGAGAATGATGTTGCAGCCCTTGCTACCTCAACACGCCGTCTCAACCTCCAGCCTTTGAATGGCGCTGATGCATTTGAACTCTTCTGTAGAAGGGCTTTCTATAACAAGGGCCACAAATGCCCCAAGGAGCTAGAGAAGGTTGCTAATTCTATAGTGGATAGGTGTCATGGCCTACCACTAGCAATTGTAACGATAGGAAGCCTTCTGTCTTCAAGACCAGCAGCAGAATTTGTTTGGAATAAAATATACAAACAGCTTCGGACTGAGCTAGCAAACAATGATCATGTCCGAGCAATTCTAAATTTGAGCTACCATGACCTATCAGGAGACCTCAGAAATTGCTTCTTGTACTGTAGCTTGTTCCCTGAAGACTACACAATGACACGGGAGAGCCTTCTGAGGTTGTGGGTTGCAGAAGGCTTTGTGCTAGGCAAAGAAAAGAACACGCTAGAGGATGTCGCAGAGGGAAACCTTATGGAACTGATCCACCGGAATATGCTGGAAGTTGTGGACAATGATGAGATTGGCAGGGTAAACTCCTGTAAGATGCATGACATTGTGCGTGTATTGGCTCTTTCTATTGCTAAAGAGGAGAGGTTTGGTTCAGCCAATGATCTTGGCACAATGTTGCTTATGGATAAGGAAGTTCGTCGCTTGTCAACATGTGGATGGAGTGATGATACTGTATCAACAGTTAAATTCATGCGCCTTCGGACCCTGATCTCACTTTCGACAACCTCATTGCCCCTTGAGATGTTATCCTCAATTTTGTGTGGATCTAGCTACCTTACAGTTCTTGAGCTGCAAGACTCAGAGATTACTGAAGTGCCGACTTCTATTGGGAATATGTTTAATCTACGTTACATTGGCTTACGACGCACCAAAGTCAAATCACTTCCGGAGTCTATTGGAAAGTTATCTAACCTCCACACGCTTGACATCAAGCAAACCAAAATTGAGAAGCTACCACGAAGTATTGTTAAGATCAAGAAGCTAAGACACCTTATAGCCGATAGATACGTTGATGAGAGGCAGTCAGATTTCCGGTACTTTGTTGGAATGCATGCCCCTAAAGAACTTTCCAACTTGCAAGAGCTGCAGACTCTAGAAACTGTGGAGTCTAGCAAAGACCTGGCTGAGCAACTGAAGAAATTGATGCAACTAAGAAGTGTGTGGATTGACAACATAAGTTCTGCTGATTGTGCAAATATTTTCGCTATTTCTTTCCAGCTTGCTTCTTTCTGCAAAAGATGAAAATGAGGAACTCTGCTTCGAGGCTCTTAGGCCAAGGTCAACAGAACTCCACAGACTAATCATCAGAGGGCGATGGGCTAAGGGTACACTTGATTGCCCAATATTTCACGGGAACGGCACAAATCTTAAATATCTAGCTCTAAGTTGGTGTCATCTTGGTGAAGATCCACTAGGGATGCTCGCTTCGCATTTGCCGAACCTCACTTATTTGAGACTGAACAACATGCATAGTGCAAACATTTTGGTTCTTTCTACAGTCTTTTCCCCACCTGAAGACACTTGTCTTAAAGCACATGCCCAATGTGAACCAGCTAAAGATCATGGATGGGGCACTTCCATCCATTGAAGGTTTGTACGTTGTGTCACTCTCAAAGCTGGATATAGTCCCTGAGGGCATTGAGTCCCTTCGGACCCTGAAGAAGCTCTGGCTTCTGTACCTGCACAGGGACTTCAAAACTCAATGGCACAAAAACAGAATGCATCAGAAGATGCAGCATGTTCCAGAGATTCGTGTTTAGAACTTTAGATGCGGCTGGCTGGTGCCGTTTGTAGTTTTTTTCCCCCTCTGTTTGCAGCAGGTGTCGATTTCCGATGAGTTGCCTATCATTCCTAGCTTTTTTGCGTTCGCGGTGCCTCTGTACATTATGTGTAGTTTCATTTACTTTGATATTCATTGTATGTAAGAGCACATCCATTTTTTTATAAGACCTTATTTGCATGTACTGTTGCCAATATATTAATCTCTCTGTTTGGAGATATATGCGGTGGAAATGAAATGTAACAAGATAGTAGGACCAATGTTGTCAATGCTATTATGCATCAATGCAAGTATATAATATGGTTAGGATTTAAGCTTCTGGTCATCCATCTATATATTGTCTAGCTCTCTGGTCACTGTGCTATTCACTTGTGAACTACTATATCCCCTATACCCAGCATTTTTGTTGGAAGACCTCACAACTTCAGGCTTACTTTATGGTGGTTGTGCTACACTGCGCTGGGCTTGTTATTTTACTGACCGTCGTAGTTTGTTTTACAAATTAAATTACAGTTATATAATTGTGTTACTTAACTGTCATGTCTCTTAGTGGTTTTACTGTTTGCGACATATAGATTAAAAAAAAATCAGTTTGCCAAACGCCAAAAAATCTAAAAGCGCACTAGTATAGAAATAATTTTCCTGTACAGGACTCACTTTATATTGCAGACGGACTGTAAGTGGTCGCGTCTGCAAAAATCACGCTCCATTTTCGTGTGCGGTTCTTTAAAATGACCGCAAGGAAAAAACAATTTTTGCAGGCAGGCCTCTTAACAGATCCACACGCAATAATAGGCTTATTTTCGCGTGCGAACCTGTTAAGTGACCCGCACGCAAAAATAGCCCACCCACCCTTTTAGCTCCCGGCGCCACTTGATCTCTTCCCATCCTACCACTCGGCCACTCCAACTCCCACTCCCTCTCCCTCTCCCTCTCATCCTCCCATCTCTCCTCTCACTCCTCCCATCTCCCTCTCCCTCTCCACCCTCCCCTGTACCCACTCCTGGCGACGGCAGCAGCCTCGGCTAGGGCGGCGGTGGCAGCGGCATCGGTGAGAGCGGCGGCGGCGGCATTGGCGAGTGTAGCGGCAGCATCGGCTAGGGTGGTGGCAGCGGAGCGGATCCGCCGCTGGCCACCACGGGGAGGGTGGATCCGTCGCCTGCCACCGTGGGGAGCGCGGATCCGTCGCCGGCCACCGTGGGGAGGGTGGATCCATCACCGGCGACCATTGGGATGATAGCGGCGGGCCTCGGGCAGGGCAGCGACGATGACTGCGGTGGCGGCAATGGTCTCCCAGCCTCGGGCGTTTGGATCCGTTGCCGGCGACCAAGCGGACGACGGTGACTGGCCTCAGGCAGGCCAGCGGCGGCGGCTGGATTAGGGTTCCAGGGCGGCTTTTGGTTTTTTTTTTCTGTTTCGATTTTTTATTTTCTCGTGCGGGTGACTTAAGTGCCCGCACACACGTGTGGGTGCATCACCCGCACGAAAAAAATCGGATTTTCACAGGCACTTCGTTCTAGACGGGCGGAAGATTTGCACGCAAAAACCGCTTTCGACCGCACGGAAAAATCGTTATTGTACTAATGGCAGCTATTTGCACCAAATTAGATTATCCTAATCCACTATGATACAATTAATATCACTTGGGGGTGTTTAGATCCAAGGCTGTAAAGTTTTGGCATGTCACATCGGATATTATATAGGGTGTCGCATGGGGTGTTTCGGGCACTAATAAAAAACTAATTACAGAATCCGTCATTAAACAACGAGATAAATTTATTAAGCCTAATTAATCCATCATTAGCAAATGTTTACTGTAGCACCACATTGTTAAATCATAGAGCAATTAGGCTTAAAAGATTCGTCTCGCAAATTAGTCGCAATCTGCACAATTAATTATTTTTTTAGCCTATATTTAATACTTCATACAGGTGTTTAAACATTCGATGTGATAGGGTATAAAATTTTTGTGTGGAAACTAACCAGAGCCTTGGTATAGTTTCTCCTGTGCATGTAAGCAAGTAGGCCCTGTAGTCTTGCTAAACATCACTCACTTTTTTCTATCCCTCTGATTGAAGGGCATCTCTAATGTGCATGTAAATGCGACCATAAGCCATATGATAATATTCTTAGTACAACTTTATGTATAGGGAGGTGTGTTTGGAAGAGAATATTGCTATGGCTAACTTAACCTTAAAGCTAGCTATAAGGAATATAAAATTACTTTATGTCTTTTCAACATGTACGTTGGTTTGAATCCTTCATACTATAAGAATTAATAGATATTATTTTTTCTAGTGAGTCCCAACTTAAGGTGAAGAGATGATCTTAAACATTGTAGCATTGACTATAAGTAAAAACACATATATGTGGGTTCCGTCTTATAGTTGTTGTTTGGTTTAACATTGAGGATGCCCGAAGGAGGAGGTTCCTCTGACATTTACTTCCCAGTGATGTTGTCACTAACTGTGGACATAAGGGTAGTACTCCCTCCGTCCCATTTTAAGTGTAACCATAGTTTTCCGCGCCCAACTTTAATCGTCTGTCTTATTTGAAAATTTTTTGAAAAAATTTAAAAACATAAGTCATGAGTAAAGTACTATTTATATTTTATCATCTCATAACAACAAAAATACTAATTATAAAAATTTCTCAAATAAAACGGACGATCAAAGTTGGGCGCATAAACTTAGGATCCACATTCCCTCATTGAACCACTCACTACTATGCATAGTGTGATCAGCATACGCTCTGTGGTTGCCTACTCGGCTCTTGTGAAGAGTTGCACATAGTAATGAGCATGGTGGTGTCAAACCACAAATTTATTCGCAATGGCAGGATGTAGGTAGCTAGGTGTGCCTAAAAGTTAAAAGGTTAAGATTTGCAAGAGAAAAACAATCTATTGAAAGGTTTATTCCCATATTATTAAAAACAGTTTTTTTATTAATTAAAAAACATAAGTGGCATATCAGATACAGACCAGCAATCGTGCTGCACCGCACCAAGGTACAACAAAAATATAGTTTCTCACTTAGCACAAGGTACAACAATGTGTTTCTGAATATGTTACAACAATTACAAGCACTAACAACAAAGAACAACATGGTGAACTTCATTTTGACCAGACAGATGTCCAGTGATTTGAATTGAAGAAAGACAAACCTTGCAAATTGACCAGACAGATGTCCAGTGATTTGAATCGAAGAAAGACAAACCTTGCAAATTGCAATTGAAGTACAAAGGAGCACAGATATTGCAACGGAAGCAACCAAATGTCGTCAATATATCTTCTCAACGTTGAAATGAGCCGTATTTGTTTCTGAGATTCTAGTCAACAGAACTAGCAGTACCATGTACCAACACAGTAAATCAGCTCAGAGCAATGACAATCCACAAACAACTCTTCCAATGTACTGCAAAATCAAAATGGCCGTCATGATACTATATTTGGATAAAGAGATTTTCAGCTAATTAAGGTACATATATTAACTAAAGTGCCCTGCAGCATGTATAACTTGCTTCGATTTCCTTTTGGCTTCGCAATTACAGTACAGTTACTATTTTTCTAGCAATGTTGCACACATGACTACAAATGAAACTTTTCCCTAGTAGTTCTTGTATTAATCTCACCATGAAACACAAGTATACAACACTTACCAATCAACAAATGGTATTCCATATAACATGACACAACGTGCCTTAGGTGGGTTGTGTGTGGTTGAAAACATAGTAAGTCTACTTAGGACTTCACCACTTTGGCATGATGCCGCTAGGCAGGGAATGGGGAACTGGGATTGAGCAATTACTAAGCTACCCTTATTAATACTATTTTCTGTTCCAAAATTATGGCAAGATATGCTACGTAATAAATATTTGGGATCGCAACCTTTATCTCAGGCTTTTTGAAAAGCGGGGGACTCATATTTTTGGGCTAGCCTTATGAAAGCCAAACAAGATTTTCTTAGGTTTAGGTCCTTTCGTATTAGGGAAAGCTCTCAAATAAGGTTTTGGGAGGATAAATGGTTGGGTAATGCCTCGTTGAGAGATTAATATCCTTGTCTCTATAACATAGCAAGGCATAAACAATCGACTATCTCATAAATCTTTCAAAACAATCCTCCAAGCTTTTCATGGAGACGAGATTTAATCGGAGCAAAATTAGCCGCATGGCACAATTTATGGCCTCGCATAGCTGATTTGGTGTTGGCACAGGAGCAAGATGAATTTCGATGGAATCTCACCCCCAATGGGATCTTTTCGGTCAATTCTCATTACTTAGCTCTTGTCCATACGGGCATCCCGAATATAAATAGATGTATTTGGAAGGTAAAAGTATTGCTCAAAGTAAAGATTTTCTTTTGGTACTTACGTCGGGGCATAATTCTAACCAAGGATAATCTAGCTAAGCGAAAGTGGAAAGGTAATAAGAAACGTTGCTTCTGTCATAAGGACGAAACCATCCAACATTTGTTCTTCCAATGTCATGTTACTCGTTTGGTTTGATCCGTGATTCATATGGCTTATAACTTACAACATCCTCAAAATTTTAATCATATGTTTGGGCGTTGGTTTACATGTGTTCCTAAGGATATGAGAAATCTGCTTTTGATGGGTGCAACAGCTATTTGTTGGTCCATTTGGCTAAGCTGAAACGGGGCAATTTTTGATAATAAGATGGTATCTTCTCCTTTGCAGGTTATTGCTTTAGTCACCAGGTGGCTACGCACCAGGTCTATCCTCCACAAACCGGGTCTTCAGGTATTGTGGTGGTATCGCGTTGTTTGGATCAGGTGGTACATGAGTTTTTTACCCTAGAGCATGGGTGGCGATCTAGTCTTCGGCTTGATAGTCACTAATTTCTTAGTTTTGTGTTGAGAGTCTAGTTAGATCCTGTTTTGTAGCTGTGTGCATTTCATGCAGAGGCCAGGAGTGAGCCCAGTTAGAAGTTATCGAAAAAAATGAATTAATGATGGGTATCAATTGGTTAAGGAGGTACCTTCCAAGTACTGTAAAAGATCTCAATGAACAAAGTTTCACAGTTGATCAGTTAGAGAGTAAGAGCACTGCAAAACCACTCCTCCAATATGTTTTCTAACCGCTTTGTATTCACACAAACCCTGATTTTTATAGTCACTGATATAGAAACAGGGTTATTTCTCTTGAGAAAGAAGAGCCAAACTGAGCATGAAAACAGGTTTTGAAAAAACAAAAGATTTGAACTAGTAGCTACTTAAGGTCAAAGCTGTTTTCTAGTCATCAATGCTAGGTTGGTGGCTGAGTCGTCCAACTACTTCTAAGACATGAAATGCTTACAACTTTAGATGCAAATAGCGCGTTGGTGTTCAGTTGGGATATGGGTGCGAAAACCTTTTCTTAGGAGCTGTAAGATCTGCTAAGTTTTTCCTGGGAGGAGTACTAAAGCAAGGCCCAACTGTAGCAGTATTGGACAAAATTGGATAGAGAAATATAAAGAAAAAGGTACACATACACATAATCCGGCTAAGCATTTGTTTAAAAATAAAAGAAAACAGAAGCCATACGGATTAATCATCAGCGACAGCATAAGCAGCTTGCAATTTACATGGCAAGATTAATTTCAGTTGATCGTAAATGCAACTATTGGTTTAAAGAAACTGCAACTAACTAGATTATTACTCTTTCTGATTTCTAATGTAAATACAAGTTGTTTTAGCACTCTCAACTCTTTACTAAGTAAAAAAATCTTTACTAAGTAATTTTATAACATGGACACTTTTTCATCCTTTTTCTTCCATATTTAGCCACACCAAATAAAATAAATCCTATCACTCTCAAAGAGATGGCATATTTTCCGATCTAGTATAAATAGATGTAACAAAGTAATTTGAAGATAAATTTTCTATTCATGTGCTCATCAAAAACAAATTATATTTGAAATCAGAAGGCGTATCAAATTTGTAGGTTCCAATTACGATAGCATGAATATGTCAAGTTGGAAACATAGAGTCAGCCTAAAGTGCTGATTGATGGAAACTAACAAATATAAGCACTTGAAATTTTGGGGAATACAAATCCATTTGTATTGTTGTCCAAAATTTTCTTACTTTTATCTTTTGATAACCTGTAAACTTGAACTTTACAGAAAAAAATACTGTACAGATTTAATAAAGAAGAATTTTTTTTGCAAATTTATTCCATATTCAATTCAGTAGAATTCTTTCGCAAATTTTGTTTCACTTTGTTGCAATAAGAACAGAGAAGGGAATTATTCCACAAAACTGACCGTGTCGTCAGGCACAAGAGGACTCCACACCATTCCCAGCGCTGCATGGCTCAGTCAAAGCAGGGGAAACCATTGCACGTGACATATTACTGGTAGGATAGTTCTGTTTGTCAATATAGTTCTGTTTGTCAATATCTGCTCCATTTCCTGCAACAGTAGATTCCTTATTTGTCACAATTTCAGTTGGGGTCGAATCTGAATCTTCTTCATGGCCATCTGCTAGATCAACCTTTTCAAGCACCAAAACTTTTGGCCTATTGGGATGTTCCTTAGCTGCCCTTTCCCATGTAACTTTAGTTGCTTTGTTCACACATGGATGAAGAACGACTTCCTCAAGGCGTTTGAGACAATTAATGTTGATCTCTGAAAGGCCAACTAGATTTTTACAGAGAAGCTGGAGTGATTTGAGAAACCTCAAAGCATTTCCTTTGATTACCGGGAATGTAGGACGGTTCAGCACAAAACATAGGCTTAGCAGGCTTGGCAATGCATTATCCTTAATAATGAACTCCTCAAGTTGATCTGCAATCAGCTTGAGATACTTCAATTTCCTCAGGTTACTCAAAGCTGAAAGAAGACCTGTGGTCAATTTTGTAGCTGATGATGAAATGCACAACTCCTGGAGGCCACGCAATAGTACCACAAATTTGGGCGATTCCAGTAATTTAGCATGTAATTTCAACGATCGAAGGTAGCATGGGGCTTTTATCTCGTAGAGGAAGTCTTCAGGGCAATTATCAAAGTTAAGCGACAAAGAGCGAGGATCGTTGAATCCATTCTGTTCGTCATGTATAAATTTTTGAATGGCATTTTGAAGATTAGTAAACCCAGAACTACTTGCTGATAGTTCAGTACACCAAACTTTCACCTTTCTCAATTGCTTCATGTGGCCCATAAGTTCTGGAAATCCTTCACTTCCGTCTGTGCTAAATCCTGCTAGTGTCTGCAATCTACAGTTTTCGGACAAAAACTTCTGCAGTTCGTTCAATCTCTTGGCTTTATTTAGGAGCTTAAACTTTCCAAGCAGATTAATTAAATATGGTAGCTTGATGACTTCTGTTGACAGGTTGATAGTCACCTCCTTTCTTCTCCTAAGATCAAGTGTCTCCAAAAGTTTCAGTTTAGTTATCTCTTCTGGAAGTTTGGTGACTTTGCCCCCAAGGCTCAAATATCTTAGAAGAAAAAGGTTGCACACTTGAATGAGATGATCATCGTCCAAGTCAGTACATTCTTCAAGATCTAAGACTCGAAGCAGTTGATACTTCTTGAAATCCAAAATAGCTTTACCTGCTTTCCCAAAGACTACCAGAGATCGGACAAGAGTCAAATCGATGTCAAGATTGCTGCTATCTACAGCACTATTGTTTTGGAGACAAAGGCGACGGACATGTTGGTATTGGAGCTTCTTGTCACCAAAGACAGCAATAAAATCCTGAGAAATAGATTTGAGCAAAATGAACTCGCGCATCATGCCATAAGTTTGACATGTCTTCACCTCCTCGTTGCTGCTTAGATCAATGGGTTGAATGATATTTCTGTCCATGAGCTTATTGAAATTCTCAACTGCTGGATCAGGAAAAGAACCTGAAGGTAGTGCTTCTACAAATCCTTCAGCTGACCATCGCCTGAGTAGTCTTTTTCTCCTGATTGAATGACCACTGGGGAACATGCCAAAATATAGCAAGCAGGCTTTGAGAGCATGGCAAGATAGTGTAGAGTACTCATGAATCAGCACCTGTCGCATTCTCTCCAAGGTGTCGTCATCCTCCAGATGATTGCATAGCTGGTTGCAAGCATCTTCACACTTGGGTTCTCTTGGCCAGCCCATTTTTCGCAAGAATTGACCTACTGTAAGAAGGGCGAGTGCTTGACCATCACATTTCTTCAAAATCCGTACTGAATCAGGCTGAATGTAATCTTGATATTCCACCGGACAAGCATTCTTCAAGAACAATTTTTTTGAGTGTATCTTATCTAGCCTTCTAATTTTATATACATAGCCATTGGCTGAACTGCAGGCTTTAGCTACTGATTGCACTGTTGTGGTCACCACTATTCTACTGCTGAAACCATCCTTCGGGAAGGCAGATTCAATAGTACTCCACAAATCTTTTCGCATGTCATCTATTACAATGAAATACCTAATAACATGAAACAACAAAAGGGAATGGACATTAGTAAAAATCCACTCCGTATGAACAAATAACAACCATGGGCCAAGCAAGCACAGCCTCTGTTTTCACTGTACTGTAATTGTCCAATCCGTAGGCCTCACACTGAATTATTTTACTGCGTTAATTTAGTTGTCTGCATAGTCTATAGTTTGTTGTTTGTTTGGAAGATAACATGAGTATATAACTCATGGAAACTATACACCGCTATTACACTGTAATCAACTAAACACACAGAAAAGTAGAGAGTTCCAAATCTAGAACTGAAAGCCAAGTTACCATGACACACCGGAGTGGAGTTATATGACACACTGTAGTATCACAATATCAGGTTATATGGTGATAAAACCAATGTACCATGATAGCAATGTAAAACGCAATAATACCTCTATAAACGAGCATGATGCTATCTCTATGATAGCACCCTGAAACTCGATAATACCATCGTGATACGGCTATACAACCATTACCTCACCTCAGCACAGCTACCATAAGCCTAGCCACCTGCTTTCTTGAGAGGGAGACAGAGACGGATATAGGACTGAGGACTGGACATATATATCTTCATACATCATGATATATCTCCATCATAGTTGGAGATATTGTGAAGGTGATAACACTATACCGTCCAAGGTAGGCAGCAGTATTACAGTACTGTAGTTTCTAAAAAACATAAAAAGAAACTCTGCTCTCTATAACCACTCTAAAGCATATCAACAATCTGAAGAAACCTGAATAGCATAAGGGAAGGGTAATTTTACAATCCTTGAGAAAATACCAGGAGGTATCATATTTTTCTAGTGTAAAATTTGGTACCTTGAAATACCAAAAATTTTAGTGTAAAATCTTAGTATCTTCAGTTACTTTCTTAAGGACTATAAAATTTCTCCATAAGGGAAACATAAATCGAATCACGGGTATGAAAAAATGGAGCAGAGCATGTGGAACTTAAATCAGCCTAATTAGAAGAAGAATTGTTGATACCTCAAGTTGGTCAGCTGATCAGTGAGATTTACAATAAGCTGGTCCAGGTCGACAACGGAGGCATCCGATGGCGGGTTAGATACCAGTTGTCCGATTATCTCCCTCAACACCTTGCTCGGATCACCATGTGCCGCAGAAACCCAGGCCTGTTTACTGAAACTCCGGCCGAGACCGCTGTTGTTGTACAACTCCCTTGCAAGTGCAGTCTTCCCCAAGCCGCAGAACCCAACAATCGATATCACCTTAAGCTTCTTCGGCTCGGCTTCTTTCAGATGCTCCAGAAGTTCTTCTCGGGGCAGGTCGATGCCGACGAGATCAGCCTGGAGGTTTCTCCCGTCAGATGCACCGGAGCAGCGTTGCTCATCCGAGCTGACAGGGGAGGACTGATGACCGACGACCACCGTGTATCTTTCTCGCCGCTCTTTCGCTTCGTCTGCTCTCTTCCTCAGCTTCTTCATCTCTTTGGCCAACTGAAGCTTCGACGTTCCCGTGACGGAATTGATACTGAAAAGAGAAGCTTGCTGATCCCGAGTTTTCTGATACATGATGCGATCTACGCAGTCCTCTATGTCGCGAGCCAGGTCGCGAAGCTCTTCGATGGACAGCAGCAGCACGCTTCCACGGCTCACCGTCCGCAAGAGCTGCTCGTCAATGGCTCCGGCGATCATGCGGAGCTCCTTCAACAGAAATTCTGCGTCGCCTTTGAATCCCTTGTACAGATTGTACTTCTGATCTACCAGAGAGAGCATCCTCGACGCGAGTATTTTCAACAAACCGCTCAAAATAGCTGCCTCCATCTGCGATTTCTGGCTACTCGACGGGCTTATCCTCCTATTCGATCCCCTTGTGCATCGGGGTTGACTCGTTTTTTTTCCTTTTAGTATAAAGGAAGCTTTCATTAATGTCAAAACGATTATATTAACCACTCCCTATAATTCTATCTGTAAGTTCATTCATAATTTTCCGTGCACAACTCTGATCATCCGTTTTATTTAAAAAAATAAAAAAAATTAAAAACATAAGTTACATGTACTATTCATGTTTTATATCTCATAATAATAAAAATACTAATTAAAAAAAATTAAATAAGACAGATAATCAAAATTAGATGCGAAATCTTATGGTTGCGGAGGAGCATCAAGTTAATAGAACCATTCAGAAAACTCATGGTCTCTGCATAAGCCAAGAGGTCCCCGATCTCATTCTCAATACCTGCTTTTTTTTTTTCAATTTCTTTGTAAATTTGTTCGCAAAAACCAGATCAAGCCCAAAAGTAGAGATTAATCGGATCGTGCTATATTACAATGCGCAGGGCATCCACGACACACTAACGATATTTCTAGTAAAATTATAAAACCTGGTCATAAGTCACAACTAAAATTTATACTATTTGTTTATTATTTATTAATAAAATCGTGATCGTGATGTAGTTATCATGTTTACTTTGTGTGCTAGCTTGATCTGGGAAACAAATATAACTTGAGTATACTAAGCTACACACTGTAACTCAAGGTGGATGCCAAGCTGGCTCAGCTCGGCTTAGTCTGGCTCGTTATGATATCAAGCAGTTGATGTGAAAATTCGTCGTGACACACAAGGGCCTGAGAAATTTGCTTAACTCCAGTGCGGGCGTGTCAGTCAGTTTGATTCTATAACTGACAACATAGATAATTGATGATAAAGAACCGATAGGCCAAAAAGCCGATGTAACGATACTAGCATATGTCGATAAGGTTTTGAACAATCTGCTATATATCCAATGTAGATTCTGACACTTAGATAAAGATAATGGAAGAACTTGAATAAACAATCCAATCAACTTGATGATAATATGATGAAGTAGATGTCCAATGAGCCAATCGATCGATATTGATGCAAAATATTAAATGTAGGCTCGACGGTTAAAGTATACATCGGTTGGAAGTCTGATGTAAAGATAACTGTCGGGGGATAAACTCCTCAAGCGGGGGACCTTGAGGCCCCTCCTTCGTTAGTTCGGCGGGGGACAGCGTGTGTAAATCAAGAAACTGATAAGATCGAAAAGGACCGAGGGGGTTGGGCCCTCAATCAAAAGGGGGAGACAAAAGGGATTATACAAGTTCTGGCCGCTAAGGAGCGTAATACCCTACTCTTCTGTGTGATGATTTTTCTAAGCTTTTGAAGTCTCTGAATCTCTGATGTACAAGCCAGAGCTAGGAGTTCCTACTCCAAATTGTCCTCTCTCCCACTTACTGGACATGAACCTCCTTTTATACTCCAAGGGGTTCTCACATGCACTGGGTGTGCAATCTAGTTCTGGGGGGGGGGGGGGGTAAATATTCTCTATCTTCAAAGTGCGTCTTGTGCTGCAGCTTAGAAAACGCATGTGCATCAGCTGCCGTGCAGGGCCTATCAAATCATGCCGGCTGACGCAGGCCGACACGGGGAGGATCCCCGTCATTCACCATTTAATGGATGTGGATTCTGGGGTGTTAGTGCACCGGGAATGTCATCCCGGGTATGTTCAAGGCAGTCAAGCCAACGCTGAATAGTTGAGAGGTGTTGTACCCCTCATCATCGTGACGGGACAGGGCATACCTACCGCACGCCACCTGACACCCGGCTAGAGCATGCGTGGCTTGCACTGTCTCGTCTGTCAGTCAACCGGTCACGGTTCAGTCAGGTGCGCAGCACACCGCATTAAATGCGGCGTGGCACGCCTGCTCCGTCCACACTAAATGTGGTTAGGTGGGCGCTGAGGGGCGTCCATCGAACCACTCTCGCACGACGGTCACGTGGTGACCATCCCGAGGGGTCGGGGCGGCTACCGCTCGTTCATGGGCCCGACCCCTGGGGGGAAATGCCACGTGGATGTCGAGGGAGGCTCCTCCCCTTCAAGCACGGTACCCCCGGGCCCATATCACCGACAATAATGTATCGACTTACACTCTGATAAAACGTAGCACAAATCTATAAACTTAGCCAGCTTTAGATTATCAGCAGTAATATAGAAGATCAGACCCAACCGAGACAGTTCTAGATTACGTCTGATCAAATAAGCTAGATAAGTCCATAGATGTATGCTAATATGATCCTAATGAGCTATAACCCTGGCTTAGCAAACTTGTTTGCAAGCTCGAGCGAGTTCATTTAGCTTGTGAGCCACGGGGCAAGAGATGAGGAGCGCAAGATCGCCGACACTTAAAGCTAGACAATGCAAGAGATGAGCTCGAGCTCGCTGGAACTTGGAGCATGGGGAGGAGCTCAACAATGGAGGTGTCAGTCTCAAGGATAAGACATATCTCCTATACATGGGTTTGTGGAATAGGCAATACCATATATCCAATAATATATGAGAAGGTATCCTTTAGTTAAGGAAATACGATGAATAAGGAAGGAAATTATCTTCCTAGAATAGAAGGCCTGTATCATGTTCTATTTCTCCGAGTTCTACTTGGAGAGAAAGATGATGTTCGCTATTAATACAAGATCTTCTAGGAGGAGAGGGGACACGCCTACGGAATACATGCCAACACAAAATACAAGCCTAGACAAACTAAATCCGGAACCACAAAGGCCGGCATGAGGGATCTAGAGCTATCTACAATCTCTCCGAGTTCATATTTGAAAAAGAAGATTACACTAGCCGTCGATGACGTGTGGAAGCTCCATGCCACCAAGCTGATAGAGACTAGATTAGGTCAATCCCAAATATTATATTCAGGTGATACTGATACATAAAGGCATCATCGGCTCTGGCCAACAGGAGTAGAGTTATTACCTGTTAGTTAAGGGCCCCGAAACTATATAAAAATCCATGTCTCCTATATGTTTTACCTCAATCTCTCATATACCCTGGTTCTAACGATCCCCATATTCTACAAATACCATCTACGGGTATAGCCGGTGATAGGAAGAGAAAAGCTCAAGCTTGCCAACACTTGAGTCTTGGTCCACAGGAAGGCTCGTGCTCATTGTGGTTCGCTGCGCTGGGGCCGGGCGGTGGCGCAGGTGGGTGGCAGCATCGGGTGCTGGGGGCGTGCGATGGCGTTGGGCCGAGCGATGACGCAGGTGGGTGGTGGCATTGGGCGTTGGGGGTGAGCAGTGGTGCCTAGCTCTAGGGACGAGCATCAGTAGCTGGAGACGCAGGGCGACGGCACCATACGCTCCTTTTGGTGATGACGACAGGTTGAGCGACGGGCCTATAACTGTTGGTGAAGAGCGACGGACGGCGTATGGCGCAAGCGGTGAGCGGCCTTGGCGGGCTAGCGACTTGGCGAGTGGTGATGGCGAGTGGGTGGGTGGCGGCGAAGTTGTGCGCAGAGGGGAGACAAACACGGCGCACGCTCGTGCATGAAGAAAGGAGGCTATGACTGCTGTGAAGAGTGAAGCTAGGGTTTTTAATGCTCTTGGCCCTGAAAGTATGGGCCCGTGGGTTGTGGGCTGACTTGCTGAGAGCAAGTTTAATAGTATAGCCAACTACTAACTCCAAATCTTCTATAGCCAATGTAATAGTCAATTCATACAATAGTTACTTACGATACTATTAATACCTGGTCCTACCTATCATACACACAGTACGTCTTAGAGTCCGTGCTGCTACAGATCTGTAGCCCGCTGCTCTTCTCTCTCTTCCTTTATCTCTTTAAAATATGTTTATAGCTGGCTTATAGCCTGCTATTATACTTGCTGTGAGGTGCAGTGTGGCTATAGCCTGTGGGCTACTCTCGAGTTGACTGATTATCTCTAACGAGGTAAAATGCCAAATCGGCTCGTTACGAAAATGAAACGAGTCTAGCCGAGCTTGTCACGAGCTGAGCGAGCTAACGAGTAATAAGCTTTTCCGTCCACCCATATATGTAACAAATGATAATACCACAACCATTTTATGATTATATTAATAATTAAGAAACATATATAACTTGAGTTGTGTTTTGACTTTTGAGACAATGTTTTATAGTTTATTGGTCACACAGGGCCTAACGGGGATGACAAACAAAAAAAAAAAAAAACGTAGGGCACCCACAATACACCACATGCAGTGATCATTTGAGGTATTGAACCATTTCAATGTCTTCAGCAATAATGTGTATATAAAGTACTCACCAAGCTGGCTGGCGCTGATTAGGAGATCCTTATCTAGAATTAGTTTTTTGGAGTATCTATTTGTAAATAAGTTTTACAAAAGGACTCGTAAAAATCCTAGCGGTATGGACGTCGTCGTGTCGGAGTCGGGCACACGACATACGCACTACTAAAAAAAAACAACTCGGAAACGTACGGGAAAGCTCTACCATTTCTGTTTTCGGTTTTTTTTTTTTGGAATCGAAAATTGAGGATACGAAAACGTACGGCCGGAAACCATTTCTGTTTTCGTATTATTTTTGGAAATCGAAAATCCCATATATGGAGACGGAATCGAATATTATCAAATACGAATTGGAGCGAATACGATAACAATATTTATCGAAAAATGAAAACAACTCTTACTAAGGTTCTCAAATCAACGAAGAAATACAACTCATTATTTTTTCTAAAACAATAAATCAACATTTTTAATTTCTATCATCAATTAATAAATAGTAATATACCTAGTTGTACACTTCACTTTTCAGAACTATAATGAGCTACATTCATTTGTAACTATGGAATGGCATAATAAAACAGAAACAAATATTTATTAAGTAAAAAAACCAGATCAAGTACCGAACTAAAAAGAATATCCCCATTTAAATTCAGAGTAGAGAAGAGTAAAGTTAATCATGTGTGTATGAACAGTAATTCATCTCCGATACCGAGAAAATAAAATCTAAATTCACTTCGAGAAATTTTCCGACGGATTCCAGTTCCGGACACGACGGATTCCAGTTCCGGACAAATAGTAGCCTTATTGTATTCGTTTTAATTCCAAAAATAAAAAAAAAAATCCAAATTCATTTTTAATTCCAAAACTCTCTTTAAAAAAATTTCAACCAACACTTTCCTTTTCCGAAAAACGTCTGAAAATCAAAAACTATCTAAACCATTTTCATGCGTACACACAACATTTTCCAAGTAATTTTTTAATTGCACCATCGATCCCAAAAAATATAGCAGCTCAATGGTAGTAGTTCCGTAGTTGCGGCGGGGTGAGGGCATATTCTAATGTAGAACTACCTCCGTTCAAAATAAGTGTAGTCGTGAGTATCTCCGTATCCAACGTTTAACACTCTGTTTTATTTAAAAAATTTATAAAAAAATAAAAAAAATAGTCACACGCAAAGTATTATTCATATTTTATCATCTAATAATAATAAAAATAATTATAAAATATTTTCAAACGAGACGAATGGTTAAATATTAGATATAAACAGTGTAAAACTATATTTATTTTGGAACTGAGCGAATAAGTTTTCAAGTCAACGAGTGAGATACCTTTTTGCGCCAAGGTTGGAACTTGGAAGGGCCTCCAAGATCAACTCCATTCATTGAGGCCATTCTCTTGAGGCTTGAGCGAGACAGAGAGAGGGGGGGCATGGAGATGGAGGTCCCGACGAGTGCTTCCATGGGTGCCATGGGGTCGCTTCTCAGGAAGCTCCATGTACTACTCACTCCCGAATACCAGCAGCTGATAGAGCCAGTGAAGGACGGGATCGAGCTCCTCCTACAAGATCTGGAAGCCGTAAAGGCCGCCATGGTGGATCTGTCAGAGATGGAGACTCCAACCATGATGGCGAGGCACTGGATGAACGAGGTTCGTGACCTATCTTATGACATTGAGGACTACATCGACAATACGATGGACTCCTGCTCTAATTCAGGTGCAGATTTGGAATCATTCGACTGCGGCCGAATTGGGGAATTTGGAGCTTCTATTAAGGAGGCCCGGCAACGGCACGAGATCTATGAGCTTGGCCGTTGCACATCGAGATTTACCTGTCCCCAAATTCCAGCGCCAAACTGGAAGGGGATAAACCTTGTCGGCATGGGGAAATCCAAGGTCGAGCTTACCAACAAGCTCACCGACGGTTCCTTGCCTCAGCTGAAAGTAGTATCCATTCTTGGATGTGCAGGTGTGGGCAAGACTGCGCTTGCCAAACAAGTGTTCTGCGAACTTCGAGGGCGATTCGAGTGTCGAGCTTTTGTGCAGGTCTCAAGGATGCCAGATACCAAAAGGCTTCTTCGAAGCATGCTCTCACAATTTCGACGCCATAATCGACTACCGGCTGATCGCTGCACAGTGCAAGACCTTATTGACAACATTCGTGATCATATTCAAGATAAGAGGTATGCTAAGATAAGAGGTATGCTAAGTTTAAAAGATTCGTCTCGCAATTTACACGCAATCTATGTAATTAGTTATTTTTTCGTTTATATTTAATACTCCATGCATGTGTCCAAACATTCAATATGACAGGGTGAAAAATTTTGCCAGCGGATCTAAATAGGGCCTAATAATTGCTAAACTAAGCAACACCATTTTTCTCTTATATTTTGTAGTTTAGTCATTGGGCCACCGGCCCACCATGGCAAATAACCGAGTTAGCATGCTACATAGACAAAAATGCTCTGCGAAACATCTCAAAGTTTAATGGGTTCAATATCCAGCCTAATAGGTCGGGGATTCTAGATGGACCCTTTACTATGTTAGCATGATAAATTTTGAAATTATTTGGCAGGTATTTCATTGTAATTGATGATTTATGGGAAACAACATCTTGGGATATCATTAACAGTGCTTTTCCCAAGGGACAGGACTGTAGTAGAATATTAATGACAACAACTATTGAGGATGTAGCTCTAGAGTGCTGTGATTATCAATCTGACGATATCTGTAAGATGAAGCCTCTTAGCAGAGATGACTCTCTAAACTTGTTCTTGAACAGTGCATTCGGCTCTGAACAAAATTGTTCTGAACGGTTGAGGGAAGTTTCAACTGAAATTGTCAGAAATTGTGGTGGGCTGCCACTAGGAATTATCAATATAGCCAGACTTTTGGCGAGCGAAGTGGACAACTTGGAGCTATGGCACCATGTGCAGAAACATTTATCTTCTAGTATGGCAACAAATCACACTTCAGAAGACAAGCTCAGAAATATAGTCCGCCTTTGCTACAGATGTCTTCCCTGTCGTTTGAAGACCTGTCTGCAATATCTTACAATGTATCCAGAGGGGTGCATAATCTGGAAGGCCGATTTGGTAAAACAATGGACTGCTGAAGATTTTATCAGGGAAACAGAAAGGGAAGATGCCAATGCAGTAGCAGATAGCTATTTTGATGAGCTTGTCAGCAGGGGAATGATGCAACCTAATAACAGAACCTACAGTGACATGGTGTTGTCTTGTACAGTCCATCACATGGTATTTGATGTTGTCAAGGACATGTCTGTTGAAGAGAACTTCACCACTGCATTAGATTACTCTCAACCTATTACAAGACTTAATTTCAAGGTCCGTCGATTGTCTCTCCATGTCAGCAATACCAAATATGCAACAAAACCGGTGCACATATCACTGTCACAAGCTCGGTCACTCAACTTCTATGGACTAGCTGAGTGTCTGCCTTCGACTTTGCAGTTCAAGCAACTTAGAGTTCTAATACTTGAATTTTGGGATGATCAAGAGGAGTTTGATCTCAGAGGAATTTTCAGATTGTTACAACTGAGATACGTGCAGGTTACAACTGATATGATCGTTAAGCTACCAGCCACCGTACAGAGCCTACAATATTTGGAAACACTGCAACTAAATGCAAGAGTAGCGAATGTTCCATCGGATATTGTTCATCTCCCGAAATTATTGCACTTACGTCTTCGAGATGTGGCAAATCTGCCTGACAACATTGGCTGCATGGCATCTCTATGCACGCTAGAGTCATTAGACCTCAGCAATAACTCTGAACAAAATGTGTGGGGTCTTGGAGAGATGACGAACCTGCAAGAACTTTATCTCAACTGCTCTACAGAATTGTCTGGCCGCCTGAAGAGAAATCTTACCGCTCTAGCTTCTTCTCTAGGGAAACTTCGTAAACTAAGAACTCTTATTCTGGCTCCTTCTTCAGGCACGAGCATGTACATGGATTGCTCGAGCATCGTTTCATCTCCGCCCCTCTGTCTTCAGAGACTTGAGTTATTACCTACCATTTGCATCTTTTCCAGACTGCCCAAATGGATCGGACAGTTAAAGAGACTCCGCATTCTGAAAATTGTTGTTAGAGAACTGCTATGCAGTGATGTTCATAGCCTCACAATGTTACAGGAGCTCACTGTTCTCTCATTGGATGTCCAGCAATCCACTGAAGAAACAATTGTCTTTAACGACAAGGCATTCCCAGTTCTCAAGTATTTCAAATTCAGATGTGGTGTGCTGCGTCTTGCTTTTCAGGCGGAGGCAATGCCAAATCTCCGGAAGCTCAAGATAGAATTCAATGTCCACAGGGGGGAACAGTATGGTGATATTCTTACCGGCATTGAACACCTGTTGAACCTTCAAGAGATCATTGGACAAATTGGAGCTGCTGCGGGTGCAGAGGAATCTGACAAGAGAGCCGCTGAGTTTGCGTTAAGTGATGCCACTAAGAAGCATTCGAGGATTTCTAGATTCAACATACGATGGATTAATTGTGTTGAAGAAGAGTAAGAGCTTCTCCTTTCCTCCAATAACTGATTTTGAGTTTTGAAATAAATTACAGTCCTCTGGGTAGTAGCAATAAGTATTAGAATATAGAACATACCAAAATTTCATATTACCAATTGGGGACGTTTCAACTTATAATTACTAGTGCATCAGCTATTGATATCAAGTTCGTTTGTGTAAATTAATTTATTTACAAAGTATAAATTAAATACAAACAATTATTGAAAACTGGTTAAACAATCACAGTCTAGATCAATGGTTTGCTTATTGAACATATAATCGTATTTGCTATATAATATGTAAGTTTTATTTCTGAAGTACAATTGGATTTATCATACCGATATAATACAAATATATTAAAAATCATACCAATCTAAACTATAACCTGTCTGAAAATCAATGGTGTATACATTTCTCTTTTGTTTGATAAATGTTGTGATCTCTAATCCTACAAAAAAATATGGTGATCTGTAGCTTTCACAAAGAATGTGGTGGATTCTTTTCACCTAGTTTTAATAATATTAGTTCCCTATGAACATGTTCATACAAATAAACTTTAATTCTAAACTTTTTTGTATATTGGTACAAATACAGATAAATTAACTATTCTTTTAATAGTAATTGTAAAATCTAGAAAATTAAATTAATTTAATTATTAGATCAATAGTTCAAAATTGGGAATTCCAAGGAAAACTTAGTTATATGAGGACACAATGCAAAAAAAAATTGTTATATGAAAATGTAATTTTTTCTTGTTGCCTCTGGCTTTAATTGAATTTACTGGTCTGCTAGTGTCAGGGTTTCCAAGATTTCAGATTTACAAGGAATATCTTCAAGTTCAGGTACTCTACTTTAGTCCCCACTATGTATTTTGTTATATAAGAAAACTATCACACAAATAAGTTAATAGTTCATGGATTTAACATTGGTCTCCATCTCTTTATCGTGTTTTAAAGAGGATACCTGTGGGTGTGTGTATGTGGTGGTACACACATGAATCTTCCATTTAATACATGTAATCGAAAAGCAAGAATTCATAGTGATTGATGTGGCTAACTTGTCTCGCGTGTCTAGAGAGAACTTATTAAATTGCTTTAAACCAAAATTTACTTCTATACAAGTTTAGATATTTATAAAGAAAACAAATAAATAAACACTGTTTCATATTAGGAAAGTTCTTTTTTTGTGAAAATAATACTAGGAAGTTGACAACAGGACTATTAGTTCAAAACCCTTGTAAACATTTTCTTCTTTGAAAGCACAAACACATTTTTTTTAGCTTTTATATGATTTCTAATATAATATGTAGTAATATAATGAGAAAAATCGTTGTGATCCATATCATTATTACATGCTTTTTTCATTCACTGGAACCAGAATATTAGGTTTTGATATGTTAACATGTATTTAACTTACTAGACAAAAACCTATTATATAGGAGTAAATTTAGCAAAACTACAGACACTTTGATAAAATTGTCACAAAATTATATATTCAGGTTAAGTTTGTCTTAATCTAATGATTTATTACCATTTTCCTCTCAAAATTACATATGTTAGATTCTCCCTCCCAAGCATGGTTGTCCTTACTCCTTACAGAACTTTTACAATATGTAGTTTTGATAGTTTTGCAGTAATGCAGCTTAAAAAATTTCTGTGGTTGTTTTGTTAAATTATTTGTAATTTTACAAATTTATAGTATTAAATATGATCTATTGGGATCATATAGTTACAAATACGTACAGTTTTACACTGAAGATAAGCTATTAATGCAATTTTTTTAGATGAAGAAAAGCAAAAGGCTAATGAGCCAAGTGGGACAGATATTACGATTGAGGACGAGTCGCCATTTTCTCACGAGCCAAATTATGATGTTCCACGGGCATACAAGGTACTAGTTGTAACAGACTTGTGTGTACCAGAATGCTTCCAGAAGTTTTCAATTGAATCATTTCGTTTTTTATGTAGTGAATATTAATTCTATGTTACTACCATGGTCTATAAACCTATTGTAGACTGATAAACTTTTTTTTTTTGGGGGGGGGGATTTACTTTAGACTGATAAACTTATTGTAGATGTAAGGAATTAACACGTTCTCGAGAAATACAAGATGCTTCCCGAATCCAAATAACACTTATCCAAGCTAAATAAAATATTTGACTCTGAATAAATTCTTATAGAAACACTACTGCAAAGCTGTCAACACCTGACGGATGGTATATGTTTATAGGTGGCAAAAGTAATAACAGATAAATCCCATTTCAGTATCCGCTAATCTCTTGGCTGAATTCCGCTTAGATATATCGCTACAATGCCCTGGCATAATAAGTTTTCAGGTTCTGTGGGCATTTGCAAATTTTCCGCTAATTCTAAATATTTTGTAACAATGCCATTTGAATGATATTCGTGGTGATATTTTTGTAAATTTGCTAGTGGTAAGTTTGCAATAATGATTCAAAACAGTGGTAAATTTGCAATTGCTCATGTGGGATATTTTCAGTTCCTCACCTTAATCATCAACGCCTCAACAGCTATGGTGAAGTAAATTTACATTTATGTATGCCCAGAAATAAACACAGTAAATTGATAAACAGAATACACGTTATTGTCACCTCGGATGTGCTTTATTTCTGAAGCAATAATGATAGTGCATAAGGGTGTAGTGGCATCTGTGACAATTAATTTAATAAGATAACATGTTGTTCGTCATTCATAAGATATCAAGCCGATTTTCTGATTAATGCAAACGTAAAGATAGCAACAGTATACATTTGTAATAATTGTAATGAAATTAAGCTCCTTAGATTTCATTATGGAACAAAAAAAAAGAACACATCATTACCTTTTCAGTTTTCACTTTGCCTCATTTTATTTACCGTGAAAGCCTACCATAAGAGAAGTTGAATAAATTATGTCCTTTTCCTACCATGGCAGGGGATCATGAATGATTCTACGAATTTTATGTTCTATTTGCAAAAACAGAAGCTGTATATGTTGCAATGATGCACATTTTTACTAGTTAGTACCAATGACTTCATTCACAGGCAGAGATAGAAAGCGAAGAAGTTCCTCACGCGGAATTAGCAGATGCCTCTCGCACAAGCGATTCAATCGACAATCGTCGACGGCAACGCCGGTCAATCGAGCCTTCTTTCTCCCGCGATCGCCTCAGCCAGCCGAGGAAGCACTCGGTCGCGTCCGCCGTGCCAAAGTTCGGCGAGTGGGACTCGCCGCTCCGCCCGGCAGACAACTACACAAGCATCTTTAACAGGGCGAGGGAAGAAAAGCGTAGTCAGGTAGAGAAGCCGTCGGTGTTTGACAAGGATGACCTACTGGTTAGAAGAACCAGAAATCGCAACGACGGCCACGCCTCCACGGTGAGTCACTCCACTAACCATACATATGCAGTACGATGACTGATTCCTGATTCTTTAACCGTTCTGATCTCATAGCTTTGCCTTTTTTTTTTCTTTTTTCTTTTTGCCCTTTGGTCATTGCAGAAATGCTCCTGCTTTGGATGGTGCAAATAGAGATGCATCGACGTTAAAGGCTGTGTTTAATAAGAGAGGAATAGAAAAGATTGAGGTAAGCTATTAGTATGTAATTAATTAAGTATTAATTATATAAAGCTTTAAAAATAATTAATATGATTTTTTAAAAATAACTTTTCTAAACAATTTTTTTTTAAAAAAATACATAGTTTAGCGTTTTGTAAAACGTGCACGTGAAAGACGATGTTTCTTCTCTTTGTGCAACTCTAAAACAGAGAAGGGGATGTTCCCAGTGCGATTTGCCGATTCAGCTGCAAAACTGCATTTGGTCATAACTTATTTTTTGGAAGTGAAAATATAAAGTATAATTCATTTTTCTGTAATGCTAGATTAAGTATTGCATTTATTGGAAATAAAAAGATTTAAGTATTGCACTGTTTGGATCCCTCTATGCTTGCTTGTATGACATATCAATCCTGTATTTTATTGCTCTCTGGTAGTCGCATCGGTAGGTGCTACTCCCTCCGTTTTATAATGTAAGTCATTCTAGTATTTTCCACATTCATATTGATGTTAATGAATCTACTCCCTCCGTCCCATAATATAAGGGATTTTGAGTTTTTGCTTGCAATATTTGACCACTCGTCTTATTCAAAAAATTTGTGCAAATATAAAAGACAAAAAGTTGTGCTTAAAGTACTTTGGATAATAAAGTAAGTCACAAAGAAAATAAATAATAATTCTTAAATTTTTTGAATAAGACGAATGGTCAAACAGTACAAGCAAAAACTCAAAATCCCTTATATTATGGGACGGAGGGAGTAGATAGATATATATGTCTAGATTCATTAACATCAATATGAATGTAAAAAATACTAAAATATGACTTACATTGTGAAACGGATGAAGTATTATTTTTCTCAATCAAGTAAGGTCCTTGGTGTCAAACTAACTAGTGTGGTGGCCCGCCCAATTTCACAGCTAGCACATATAAAAATATCTTTTTAGCACTGTCTTTCTTTAAAATTTGTTAAATAGTTATCTCATTATCTTAAGATATAAAAAAGTTCAAATATTATTATCGCCGTGTTTCCAATTTATAGTTTTAAGGCTACCCTTACTACTTTGCATCCCTTTACTTAATTGCTTGCTGGTCCGCCATGGCTAGAACTTATTTTTTGAGTTTATTATCTCGTTGGGTTTCGTTTTTATAGTTTTCTGTTGCCCTACTACTTTATGGCCTGTCCGCTACCCTCCTCTTTATTGTCAAGGGATGTTAAATATTAAACTTCTTCATCGTTTCTTCTTTAACTTTACAGAGTTCCCTTTGAACCGTCATGACCCTACTCCTTTACAACCTATTCACCGCCTCTTCTATCTAACATCTTCATCAGGGTTTTGTTTTATAGTATTTAGATGTTCTGTCAACCTCTCCCTACTCCTTTACCGCTTGTCCACTTGTCTACACCTTATAAAAATGAACCTTATCATCGTTGGGGGTTCCTTTTATAGATTTTAGATGCCACCCCTGCCACTTTACTCCTTTCATGTTCCTGAGCTTGCTCTTCCATGGCAACCACCACCTTCCTGCTCCTCTGTCACATATCCATTCATTAGCACATGACATCTCCCTTTTTTATTGTCGTCGGCGCCTAACAAAATCAAAACTTTATCATCACCGTGCTTGTGTTAGAAGTTTCGCTAACTATTGCCGCCACTGTATTCCCTACCTTACTCTTTTTCCTCCCACCGGGTTGTCCTCTTAGCTCCAAATATTCATAACTTGAGCAACTTGCTCTCCCGCGACCTTAGTAGGATTAATTTACGGAAATATTTTCTAAAATCTGATGTGCCTTTTTAAGTTGTCAACTACAATTTGTCATTTTAGTAGTCAAAATAGAACACATGGACTTCTTGTCTAATAAATATAAAAATAGAGTTGTAATTCTTCTAGAACACTTCATTTGTTCTTTTCTTAATATGCAATCTTATAATATAATTTCACCATTTGATGTAGCCTTTTATTTCTTCAATCAACGTGGTGATTTCTAAATATCCAAAATGAACATTGGTGTTTTCTTTTAGGCCCATATATCAATCGAAATAACACGTTTTGTGTTCTTGATATATTTTTTATTTCGAATTACCGTTATTTTTAAATTGTATATCTACTTTATTCGAAATTTCATGAATTTTAACTTTATTTGGATTCAGTATTGAAAATCAATTTTGGAATGACGGGTAAATATAAACGATCTTGACAATACGTTTTAATACTGGATGAAGGTGGTAGTACATCTAGTATGAACTAAAACTGCACCCTCGTGATCGCCAAAATTTGTTGACAGGCATTTAGTCAGGCTGTTAATTATCAATTTTGGGCATCAGCGGCACCATATCCGCCCATGGTGAGGCGAACCAGGCAGCGGCGGCGGCTGGCTGGGAATGGCTGCGACGTGCGAGGAGAGGAGGTGTTGGTCTGGCAGCGGGATATATACGGCACGCCCAGCCTCCTAGGCGTCGGATTTGAAGGAAGGCGAGATAAGGGAAGACGGGCGACGGCGCGCGGCATGCGGCGTCTGCTCGTCATCTCTGTTCTCCAGCTCCGCCGCGCGCGAAGACCTCCTTGCAGGTACCTCCCTATGGTGGTCAGCGTCCACCACAACCAAACCAGCCATTGATGGGGATGGAGGGGGACGCGGACGGACGGACGGACGGAGGAGGCTGGCGCCATCGCGGCGACCACAGGCTCCGAGGATGGGACGAGCTCCTGCGGCTGCGGCAACAGGAGAGCCGACGCCTGTAGATATTTTGTTTTCTTTTTCTTTTCTCTCTCTCTCTCTCTCTCGCATTTTGCAGCATGAGCCTGCTTCACCATACCCAATTTTTTTATACGTGATTCACTGTATCATTGGATACACATATCACATGTATCAAATTGCAATCCAGTGGAGTAAAAAAAAATTACTATTGATTTTATTGTCCAAGTAAATAGAACACACATTACACATACCATGTTAGTAAAAAAAATATATTAAATGATGTATATGGAAGTTATAGGTGATGATAAAAAAAACAATCACTAAACGATGATTGTGGAATGACTCGTAGCAATGAAAAAAGGGATTTAACTATGAGAGGGGGCAGCTTAACAAATGATTACAATAAAAAAATTGTATAAAAATATACATAAATTTAAATTTTTCTATAGATGATAAAAAATTATCAAAGGTAAAAGTCAAATTAACAGCAATTAGAAAAAAACTTAGCAAAATTAGCAACAAATTACAAGGACTAATATTTGAGAAGTTTAAAATTAAAATGATGTGACAGATATAATTATAGTTTCATAATCATCATGGCTCAAGTGCAAGAAAAACACATACCTACAGCTACAACTAAAACTGCACCACCATCAGTCTACAAATTTAGTAGGGAAGTGGAAACTGATATGTAAACTCAAGCACATACATATATACTTATCACGGCAACCATGCGTCATTAGCAAACTGATAATGGTTTCTTCGCAAGTTTGGGTTCCCAACCCAAATATAGTATACACCGAAAATGGAGTGGTCCATTAGCACATGATTAATTAAGTACTTGCTTTTTTTTTAAAAAGGATCAATATGATTTTTTTAAGCAACTTTCGTATATAAACTTTTTGTAAAAAACGCACCGTTTAACAATTTGAAAAACATGCGTGCGAAAAATGAGATTAGGGAGTTGGGAACCAGCTGAGTCCCTCAGCTCCCTGAAGAAGCTCTTGCTGATCAACCTGCACAAAGACTTCAAAGTTCAATGGAATGGTAATGGGATGCACCAGAAGATGCTGCATGTTGCAGAGGTCCGTATATAGATGTTGCATAAAGTTTCCCTATGTGCAAGTACATTACAGATTTGGTTCTTTCCAGTAATTTGTTGGATTTGCATATATGTGGTCGGTAAAGTTTTCTTTAATTACATGTCATGCTTTAAATTGTTATACAAACATTCCCGGATCATTGAATCTCCTGTAATTTTTGTGTTGCCCCATTTGCCTTCAGATTTATTTCATGTAACAAACATGTCCTGTTTATATCAACGTCATTTGCCTGTGATGTTATCAATGTTGGAACCTCCTGTTTAGGCTGCCTTTCCCAGTGACTCCTTGTTTTTGTTTGATAATAGGGATTCGCTCCTGTTTTAATTGAGCTCCATGACTAGTTCGTTTGCTACAATAAGTCCAGTCCGTGCTGTTGTTTGCTCTGAGATTGGCTTTTGATGCAGTGTGTCCACATTATACCATATTGCATTTGCAATTGTGGTGTAATAATGCTGTATGTTGTCTCCATTTGTTTTTTCCATGGAAAGCCCAGGATTTTGATTATGATGACTGATGGCACCATGTCTCAGGCTGAATTTCCTTGTGACATGAGTGTCAGTGAGTGGGTGCATCACCCAAGGCCAACAAGTTGGACATTACATGCATCCTATCAACAAATTGCCCACATGATCTAACCAGATAATCAAGTCACAAAATTCTTGGATAGTCTGTGCATTGGCAGGACACATTAACCGAAGTTGTAGAAACTGAATGTTACAAAAGAACAATATTGTATCAGATTTCTGCTGTTTTGAATCTCCTCGACCCTTCCGCACCGGACTCCCGTGTCGCCTCTCTCGGCAACTCGGGAGGTGAAGCCCGCCTCCCCAACCTCCCTAGTGCACGGTCGCCGACCTCGTGGCCACCAGCAACGCCGCCTCCTGCGGTGGTGGCCAGCGCCCCCCCCCCCTTCCCTCCTTTTCCCTCCCTCCCTTCTTCCTTCTCTCTCTTTTTTCCCTTCCTCCTTTTCTTCAGATCTGAGGCGACCGGTGGCTTGGCCCTCCTCCCCACCCAGTGCCGACAGGCTCCCATCCCGAACCGGTGGCAAAGGCTGCACGGGGGACAGCCAAATCTGGCCATGTAGGTCCAGATTTGGCGGCTTCCGCACATCTTGGGGCAAGAGGCCGGTTGCGGAGGCGGCTAATGGTGGTGGCAGCAAGGGGGAGGGCCGGATCTGGCTGCCTCTAGGTCCAAATCTGGCGTGCCCTAGCCGGGGTTGAGCGAGGCCGGACCCTCGGTGGCAGCGATGACGACGAGTGGGTGGTCTGTGTGGCACCGACGAGCTACGTAGCTCGGTGGAGCTCCGCCGGTCCGCCGAGGTGGCAGAGTAGGTCGTCAACGATGTGCAGGTGGTTGTGTGCATAGTTGCGGACGCTATGTTTGGATGGGACTCTGATGTGAAAGCCTTACTCGCACGAAAGGCATAACGATCTAGGCACTGTCTTGGAGAGAGACTTGATGAGATATACATGTCTGTGAAGATGCAGACTACCTGCAGCTGGGCAAAAAGACCCTACTCGTCTTGCTGACACTAGCAACGGGGACACTCTCAGACGCCGTTCACCTTCTTGAAGGCGTTGCTATTAGAGCCCTCGTTCAACTCCACATCAAGGGATTTCTCCAGGTGAAAAACTTAGATTCGTTAGGATCGGGCGATGTTGCGTTCTGTCAGCGTGTCCTTGAAGGCTTCGTTTTAGGAGTTTTTCCCTTGTTGGACGGTTGTACTTAGTTCTTAGGTTCAGTCTGTCAATGCCGGGGTTTTCGCCGGTTTTCTACAAATTAACCGTGCTATTGTAAGGTTATTGGGTCCAGTTTTCCTTATAAACTGGATCAACTCTCTTAGTTCTATAGTGAAATTGCAAGATCTCCCTGCCCGTTCCCTTGAAAAAAAAACAAAAGAACAATACTGTACCAATGATAACTGAAGGAGAAGAGAGCTCACTGATCATGGAACATCAGGCAAAGAAAATAAAAGGAGATTATTGCCGTGGAGCATGCATCAAGCATCTCTCATAAACAAAAAGGTGATTAAGATGACCGATCATACATTCATGCCACCAGCATTAAAGACCTATATGCAGCAGGAAGTCATGACTGCAGGAAGATCTATATTCGGAGAAACTGGATTCACTCAAGATTTGTTCAGCTTCAGATTTTTGGCACTTCCTTCAAGAGCTACCACCGTCGGTCACTGTGACCCTTGCCAAGCAGCTTCCAACAATGTACAATGAAAAAGATCGACATTTATGCTAGATCTGGAAGAACATATTCAGCTGCAGTGTTGGCATTATCTATATAAAAAGCTGAAGTGTTTTCACCTAGTAGATGTTAGATGATCATTTAGGGCCTGTTTGGTACAGCTCCAACTTCTAAATTTAGCTCCAGGAGTTGAGTCTGGAGTGGAGTTGTGGAGCTGCCTAAACCCAGCTCCACAACTCTAGTTCATTTTGTGAGAGAGCTCCACCCAGCTCCACTCCTAGTTTTGGTAGCTCTGACTGTGTTTGTTTGAGCTCCCTCCCCAGGAGAGGTGGCGCTGGATCTGGATGTGTGCCACACAGGCCTAGCCTTTTCTCCAATTAAGTCTGTCAATAATTTCCCCAATAGAAGGTCTCCCCTTTGGATTTTTGTCTACGCAAGCAAGCGCAATATCGATGCACCTTTTTACTTCTTGGAGGCAGTTTGCCTCCAATAATGGATAGTTGGAAGCTATCTGTGGCATTTTCGCCCAGTTATTACGTACCTGCAAAATTTTAGTAGAGAGACTGAAGAAAGAATACAAATTGACAGTATAGTGATCATTTTCAAAACAAGATTATTGAGCTTCAAGTAGAAAGATACTCTATCTTACATTTTCAATGAAGCCCTTTGAAGTAACATCTTGGCTACTCGAATTGACTTTTAACCCAGTCACTATCTCGATTATCAAAACACCCAAGCTGAATATGTCTGATTTGGTTGAGATTTCACCGCTGTAACGATACTCCGGGGCAATGTATCCTCTGAATTACAGAAACACTAATATTTTAATTGCTATAGGATTGGAAATGCAATGGGAAACAATAAATCTTCAATAATGAAAATATGGAGGTTATTATAAGGATTGAGCTTACATGGATCCGACAACTGTTAAAGTACGAGTTCGTGTTTGTTCTTCGCCTAAGAGCCTTGATAGGCCAAAATCTGCAATTTTTGGCATCATATTATCATCCAACAATACATTGCCAGGTTTCAGATCTAGATGAATAATGGGTCTTTTCAACTCATGTAAGAACTTTAAACCCTGACATATCCCTTCAATAATTTTGAAGCGCATGTCCCATTTTAATTCATTGGATTCACCTGTAGAAATGAATACAATAAGGTCACTTTCAAACAAGAATGTTGAGAGTTTTGCATCAGTATATCTGTCAATGTTCGGATAAGTAGATGTTTCTAGGATTATTTTTAACCTCTACTTTATATCACTGCTAACTGTCTTTGAACACAAGTTGATAAATAGAAGGGGAGTAGCATTCAGTTAATTTACATGGGAATTGGATGGAAGTGTGCAGAGGATCATACCATAAATATACTTGTCAAGACTCCCTGTAGGCAAATACTCGTAGCAGAGTAACTTTTTTGGTGTTTCCACAAAGAAAAATTTTCGGTTGTTCTCCACAACTTCCTTCCGTATTTCATAACAATACCCAATCAACTTTACTATATTCTTGTGATTGAGATCAATAAGAATACCAGCCTCACTCTGAAACTGTTTGTCTTGATTAACTGCAGTCACACTGTCTAGAAGCTTCTTTACAGCAACTAGTTCCCCATTTGGAAGCACACCCTGCTTAACTTCTGTAGTTAGTGTAGTCAAATACAATGGATATACTCTGTAGCCATTGATTTATTTTAATAAAGGATAAAAATATAAGCCAAACATACCTTGTAAACCACCCCAAAAGAACCTCTACCAATTTCTCGCTCATGGGAGAAATTGTTTGTTATATCTTCCAAAAACTGTAACTTCGGGTTTCTTGTTAGCGTACTTACGAATTTTTGCCTTTTCTCCATTTCTTCATGTATGATCGCTTCATCACCAATAACTGCTTGAATGAAACTTTTCTTAAATAAGAACTTTGTTTTTGTAACAATGCCACTTATTACAAGCTTCCAAAACATCTAGACTAATAAATATTTATAACAAATCAAGACACAAAACTTCCGCCGACCTGGCAAAAAAAAATCAAGACACAAAAATAAGGTTTCCTGACCTGTTCCTTTATCTGTGAGTTTTACAATAATTTCACTTATAGTAGGTCGTTTCTTTGGATCGGTCTCCACACAGTTTAACCCACTTTCGATGCATCTTTTTGCCTGTAGGATGTCATCTTCTTCTAGTGATGGGTACCTTGACGTTATTTGTGATGATTTTAACCATTTCCTCCGTACCTGCAGAACAAGACAGCATAACCCAGATGAAAGGATGAACTATGATATATATCAACATCTTTCTCCACATCGTTAATACATATCTCTTACATTGTCAATAAGAATCCTGGATGAAACTTCTTGAGAGGTAGAGTCGTTTTTCAATCCTGTGACTATCTCAAGAATAAGAATACCCAAACTGAATATGTCTGACTTCTCTGATATTTCACCTCTATAATAATACTCTGGGGCAATGTATCCTCTGAGTGGAATTAAAAAGGTATGAGCTAAGCATTATGGGTTTAATGCAAATGTAACAATTGAACACAAAGAAGGAAAATATATGGAATTACAAGGTTTGAATTTATCTTACATCCATCCGACAACATTTTGGGTGATAAGTCGGGTTTGCTCTTGACCAAAGAGCCTTGACAGCCCAAAATCAGCAATTTTTGGCACCATATTGTCACCCAATAATATATTGCTTGGTTTAAGATTCATGTGAATAATAGCTTCATTCCGCTCCTTGTGTAGAAAATGTAAACCGTTGCAAATACCCAAGATTATTTTGAAACGCGTGGGCCAATCAATTCCATTCAATTCATCTGAACGTAAGAAGCTTTTAAAACATTATCCTCTGAAGCCATCCATCTCTTTATGTAATATTTTTAATGAACTTCCTGTGTGTGCATTTTACTACTCCTATGGATAGGTATAAAAAAGGTTATCCTTCTCTTATGTTGTTTTAAATGAAGATGTTGATGAAATACAGTGGCACTGATATTTTGACCCATGATGAAAGAAAAAGAAGGTGTAAATCTATGACTATGAGCTTGTGGCGGATTGTGTTACCGTAGATATAGTTATCAAGGCTTCCATTCGGTAGATACTCATAGCAGAGTAACTTCTCCACCACATCTGTGAAAACATACTTCCCATCATGCTCAACTACTTGCCTTTCTGCTTGGCAGCAAGAACCAATCAACTTCACTACATTCTTGTGCTCCAACTCCAGGAGGTTGTTTGCCTCGTTCTGAAACCGTCTGGCATGAATTCCTGATGTTCTCTCGAGCTTCTTCACAGCAATCACCTCCCCATTCTCAAGAACACCCTGTTTTACATACATAGAGATGGATTTATCACTATGAATTGATTTTGCTGAAGTTGAGAAATGTTGGGGAACAATGTGTGTAACTGTACCTTATAAACCACTCCAAATGCACCGCGCCCGATTTCTCGTTTACTTGAGAAATTATCTGTGATGACTTTCAAAGAATCTAAGGTTGGATTCTTTGGAATAGTAATTGGATACTGTGACTTGTTCCCCGCCTTATTTTGTGTGCTGGATTCACCCTTCATTTCTGATTGCCCAAAATCGGAGAAGCCCTTTCAGAAGAAGAGAAGAAACAAGAACAAGCTCATCAAAGAAACCATGTGAGCAGAGCCCAGATTTTGCAGCTGCAGGGGCACTAACCTGAAGAGCAATTTGGCTGCAGGAGGTTAATCTTGTTCCGATTCCGATTCAATCGAGGAGGGGAAGAGTTGGAGAAGATGAGCAATTGTTCCCTGACGGGAGAAGCGGCCAGTGTGAACAGGTTGACTTGACTCAGCCACCCAATGGAGAGTCATCGTCCATAATGTGCTCTCTCCATCCATAAGGGACCACTCGTCATATTTTAAAAAAATTGTGCAAATATAAAAAACGAAAATTTATGTTTAAAGTACTTTGAATAATAAAGTAAGTCACAAATAAAATAAATATAATTCAAATTTTTTTTTCTAAGATGAATGGTCAAACAGTGCAAGCAAAAAGTAAAAATCCCTTATATTATAGGATGGAGGGAGTAAAATAGTAGTTGACTGTGGAACTATTCTGCCAATTGCAAGCTGTGCACCGAACCAGGGGCCACTTGGTATAGGCTGTGTTTAGATCTAAAGTTTGGATCCAAACTTCAGTCCTTTTACATCACATCAACCTGTCATAGATACAATTCCTGTCATACATACAACTTTTCAGTCACATCATCTCTAATTTCAACCAAAATCCAAACTTTACACTGAACTAAGCACAACCATAGTGTTGCATGTGATGTGTCTTTTTTTTCTCTCTTGGAATCCAGGGTGAAAGTTGTCTTTTTTTTTCCCCTCAAGAACAAGAACAGCAGTAAACCTGAGACAGTCACCAATGTACGATTAATTGACTATGGTGTCTGGTGTCAAGATGGTTCTTGATCTTGCCCCCACATAAGAAAACCTGGATATAAGGTGGTCTAAAGGACTTCTTGGATTTTTGCAGTGTTAGAAAAACAATTGTTTTCAATGTATTGAGAGTTCTAAAAAAATAATGTATTGAGCATTCACCATTCAATTGATACAACAATTTGAAAAAAAAAGAAAGAGATTTTCCAAAGACTTAGACATGTTTGGAAGACGTATTTATTTATTTATGTATTATTATTCTCCCTTCATATAACTGATTGTTACAAATAAAGTAAGGCTAATTGTTTACAAAAAGATCATAAGAAATATAGGATAGAGGGAAAGTGAAAAGTGAATGTTCATTTCTCCCTTAATTAAATTCCATCTCAATCTATCCACTATGGAATACTTCACCAAAGTCCGATTTGCATTCATATATAGAACTCTTCGGATTCATGCCTCTGGTCAGATAATCCTTGCATAGTGATTTCACGGGTGGTTTTGTGATTATCGCTTGCAGCAGCAGTTTCCCCTGTTATTTCAATTGCGACTTCTCGGAAAGCTTACTTGCTGTTACTTCCATCATTTGAAACCACAAGAATTCAAGGATTGTGAATATATTTGTCAAGGCTTCCATTGGGGATATTCATAACAGAGTAACTTCACCATTGTCTTTCAAAACATATTTCTGAAACCGTCTGTCATGAACTCCTCATATTCTCTCATGCTTCTTCACAGCAATCATCTAGGGAAGTCAAACTGTACATCCTTCTTAACATATATAAAGGTGGATTTTTTAATTAATTATGGTGAAGTGGAGGAAGGTTGGAAAATAATATGTACAAGTAGGACCGTACCACATAAGGCCCTTTAAATGCACCATGCTCAAAATCTTGTTCACTTGGGAAGTTATCTGTGATGCCTTGCGATGACTGTAATGTTGGTTTGCTTGTGAGCTGTGACTTTATCTCTGACTTGTTATTTTGTCTGCTGAATTCACCACTCTGATTGACAAGCCAAAATAATTACCTTCAGAATGGTAGTAACATGCATCTATGACAAAATGAACACCGAAAAAAAAAAAGAATGACCAATGAGAATTATCTATCATCCATTGGATAATGGTCTTTACATGTGTCTATGACAAAATCAATGCCAGATAAAAAGACAAGTTACTTTTATCTTACTTGAACTGAAGGTGTCAAACGGAGATCCAGTGATTTTGAAGTATGAAGCAAGATCTATGTCCATGTCGCTATACAAGCTCAGGAATGGGTGAGTCTGAATAACAAAGACAGCGTAGAAGGTGAAGAAGCAGCCTTGCAAATGAACAAGAAATGCGGAACAGAATTTTAACTTACCAATAAGAATTTTGCAGACGACCTATCTGAAGCCTTCTTTTGGACACTGAAATTCAACAGAAAAAACAGAGGAACTGAATATCTTTTTAGATTATGGAAGTTTTATTAAACTCATACTCCCTCCGTCCCAAAATATAACAACTTCTCCACTAACATTCTCTTCCCAACTAATCACAACCCTCCACCATTCACTTTTCCCACCTACCTCTAGTCCTCTACTACTCATCCAATCACAACTCTCCACCATTCACTTCTACCTACTTTCTTAATAACCGTGTCCAACTCTACAATTTCTTATATTATATAACGGAGGGAGTAGTGTTTTCAAGCACCTCCGGCCTCTGCACCCAAGGAGTGCACACAACCAAACAGAAGAAAGAGGAACTGAATATTAGCCCTGTTCGTTTCTATGGTTTATAAAACTTATACCAGTGGCGGGCCCAGCTTTTTAAACTTGTGTATTCGAAATGGGAAGGGGTAAAAAAATTGTTCATACACCTAAAAGCCAAAAAATGGGCTTGTATATTATGATACACTAATAATTATAATTTATAACGTATAGAACATAAAATTGATCATAAGTTCACACAGTGATAGAATTGATCATCAGTAGAAATTGTTTAACATATAGAAATACTAATACCAAACATATGGAGTTATTAGTGTACCATATAGGCAACTAGTCAACTACAATCCTGTGAATACAAATACCAAACATATAGAAATTGTTTAGCGTATAGAAATACTAAAATTGAGTAGTGGTCCAACAGACCACTACTCAATTACTCAATTACTCAAATAGGCAACTAGCAACTACAATCCTACAAACTAAATGTCTAAATCAAGCAAGTACACTAAAATACTAAATGTCTAAATCAATGAATTTTTGTGCTTGTCCCGTTGTCCGGAGTTTAGTCACTCACTGTGCTTGTCCGGAATTTGCAGGGCAGGCAGCCTCCGGCGAGCAGGGCGCCGCACGGCCGCAGCGAGCAGCCGCCGGCTGCCTCGGGCCTCGGCGCGCCGGCGCGGAACGCCGGACGCTGACCTGCAGGCTGCAGCTGTGCAGCATCTGCTCCTGGCCTCCTGCCTGGCTGCCTCCTGGGCCCCTGCCGGCTGCCGCACGCGGCACGCCGTCGGTCACGGTGCGCCCGCCGGTCACGGGCTTGGCCTTGGCGGCTCACCGGTCGCCGCCGCCGCGCCGCGCCCGCGCCGCTGCAACCGCTCCATTGCTGCACGCCTCCCGCCGCTGTACGCCGCTCCACGCCTCCACGGCCCCCGCCGCCGGTCGCCGCACGCAGCCCCCGCCGCACGCCTCCTCCCGTGGTCGTGCTGTGGTCTAGGGTTTGCAGGTTTGGGTGGCCAGGGCACCAGGCGGGTGGGGAATTGGGGAAAATTGCGAATGGGCTGAGATGTGGCCCAATTAGACCACAGGTTGAGAGGAAAGAGGGACGGGAGTGGGAAATTTAGGCCCAATAGAGAAGAAATGGGAAAGCAAGGCCCAATATAAGCAGTTTAAGCTTTCTTTTTATTTTTTTGAATACCTATATGAACTATATAGTATATATACCTTTTTTTTTTCCTAAAATTTTGGGTATACATCTGAATACCCTTGAATACATAGTGGGCCCGCCCCTGACTGGTATTAGTCTTTTTAGATTGGCAAGACCATGCGAATATGAAGATGCCAAGCCTAGCAGGTTAACATGTAATTTTAACGAAATGTTTCAAGATAAGCAGTAGGGCACATGCCGCACAATATTGGAAGCACATGATTGTAACCGAAAAGTTAAAACCTATTGTTACTGCTACAATTGTAACTTCCGTTGGAAAAAGGAAATCAGAGAAATCATGAAAGATGCAGAGTTACCATGCAGAGATGAATGAACAGAATTCCTCTGAAAAGTGGTCTGATGAAGCAGAAGGTGCTGGTCCGTCAACAAAAGCTTCAAGGAGTTCATAACAGTTTTGAACGGAAGGATATAAAAATGACCCGTGGCACATTCCAGCATAACAAGGCCCAAGCTCCAGATATCACTCATATAATCATGTTCCTGCCCACTGATTCTTTCTGGCTGTCAAGAACAGAAATTTCCTTTGGTCCAATTATAAACAAAAAAAATGGATAATATTTCATGCCAAACTCAGTGACACATTTAATAACATAAAAACTTTTACCCACCGCCATGTAGTTATATGTTCCAGTAAATGAATCTCGTTTTGCACACAGACCATTAATGATGCCACTAACACCAAAATCGCATATTTTTACTTCTCCCCAGTGATTTATTAGTATATTTGATGGCTTTAGATCTCGGTGTATGATATGCTTCTCATGATGCAAGTACATCAGTCCTTTTAAGAGCTGCACAAGAAAGATTAATTCTTTTTATTATAAGGTAAAGTGAGTATCGAAGCAAAGAAATCGTGTGGTAGCTTCTACCACATGTAACTTGCCTGCTTGCAGATTGCAGCAAGGTAGGGCTCTGGAATTGTTATAACTGTCTTCAGTAAATCTGAGAGAGACCCGCAGTCCATGTACTCGAAAACAGCTGAAATAATACCGTTGGCATAAAAACACTGATAACATGCAACAACATACTGGCACTGTGTTGACAAGCTAATTTTCAACTCCTGGGCAATCTGTTTGCGTATGCTCTCCTAGATATTTAGTTGTATAACCTGCAAAAGACCCATGAAAACATAACTGATCTTATATGAAGTTACAACTGTCAGGAATATGTCAAATTATAGCTAAAACTCTGAGAGAAGTGGAAGAAATCATAATATAAAGCAAAGAATGCACTTTCAAATATATAATACCTTTAGAACAAAAAAATGGCCAGTCTGTCCGTCACGAACCAAGTGCACCACTCCACTACTACCTTTTCCGATCACTTTGATTACCTCTAGGTCATCTAAACTCAACTGATTATGATCCAATGGCTCCATATGATTTGTCTGCAACGGTTTTAGCATACCAATAGAAAGAATGTGAGGGCACAAAAGGAAAAAAACACAATCTAATAAGCAGATAACAGTGGTGATGGTGTATTACGTAATACTGTTGAG